TGTGAACCATCTCCATTGTTTGGAGGCCCGTTGAAGCACCCAAGTTTAAGCAAGTAAAGATGGTGGCAAGGAGATGACGAGTGATCATTATTATGACATCACCAAAACATGGGTCAGAATTTCTTTGCTTCACTGTCACTGGTCAGAGAACATTACTGCTGCTTCCGCAATTCAGCTTTTCTTGAGACATCACTGCTGCTGCTCTAGTATCTGAACTTTCCTTTTGGTCTTTGCTTATTATCAAATACAGAAGTGAAATAGATTTCTGCGTGACAACAAGTGACGTAAGTCTGGTGAGGGAATTCTGGAGTTGAAGACCTGAAACACAGGTCTTAAAGTTGCCAAGGTTAGACATCCCTGGTTTAGACCTATATGGTATGACAAGAAGGAATTATACTGGCATTCTGAAAGCAAAATTTTCTTTCAAAGTAATTACTGTTCTGGAAGGCACTTTTGTAAAATTCTATTTAAAATGAATGCAAAAGAGTGTACCACATTTGTGGTTTATTATTTAAAGCCAAACATGAAATTCATTCATTTTGATTATAATAAAGTAGCATAAAATAGGAAAAAAAATTATCTATGTCCAGACTAGTTTGTTCTGCTGATTTTTCCTTCAGTATTTAAAAGCCACAAGAATAGGGAATGTTCAAAAACGGCTGTTTGCCAATACACCTACTCACTGAATATTTTGAAATTTTGTTCTTCATTTTACATCTTGTGAATATAAATCTGAATATAAAAACATAGAATGAATATTTTGTTCCTGAATGAAAAACATTGAACTTGAGATATCACATATACAAATACGTACGTACGTACATACATACATACATACATACATACATACATACATACATACATGAATCTCTGGGACAGTTCAATAATGATTTAGATAACTTTTCCTAGGGTATAATACATTATTATGGTTCTCCAGTATTAATCATATTAATATTTCCACAGTATTTATGGACTACTTAAATCAGTCAACAAGACTGATATGAATTGTATATCATAGCAAACTTTTGTTTTTTTATAACGTTAACTATGAATATCTCATGGTTTCCTATATTAGAATAAGCAGTTCCTTTTGTTATACAGTATTCAACACAATAGTATTCAGTATCAGAATGGAGTAAACTATTTTTACTTGTGGGTAATAGTATTTGTTTCCTTTTTTCACATGAGAAAGAATATTTACCCATAGTTTGGGCTTTATAACCACAATGTATTCTTTTCCTGACTTTTTGTGAACTCCTATTTACAGAGAAGTGGATTTCTTGAAGAAAATTTAACTGCATATTTTAGAGTAAGAGTATGTGGAACTGGGTTGCAGCATCCAATCTCTTTATCAGATGGATTGAGGCATTTCAAGTATGTTCTAACTCATCAGGGATATTAATTTAAAAACCCTATGTGTGGAAAGAGAATCTGTAAGCTTTATTTATATCTCTTTTCAGATAATCATAGTTTATGCCACATCTGCAAAATCATGACTACTTACTATAGGCTTGTTAACCTGGAATAGTTATTGGTTATGCCACTGAATAATGGAAATTACAGCAAATTTAATATTCCTTATAGTTACATTGTATTATGTTTTATATTGGACTGATATTTTCACCTTCGGAGTTAGTATGTATTAAAAATAGTACTGTAAAATAAATAATTTCCATCTCTCTTTTTTTTAAAAAAATCCCAAAATATATTGCTACATACGAATAATCATTCTATTTTTTTTCTGACAAGATAGTTAAATGATAGAAATGTTATTGAAAAGGGCAGTTTTGATGATTAGTGCAGCAATATACTGATTTAAAACTGCATTTAGCTTATCATTGAATTAGTAACAGACAATGTAAGTTTTATAAGTAGTAATAAAACAAAGCAGCAGATATTAGTGGATCGTATACATATGTGATATAGTGGCTTTTGGGTTTTTGCATAATTGTTTCCAGTCATTGATTTGCATCACATGCACAAGGCATGTCAGTTTTTGTTTGTTTGTTTGACTCAAGGAAGCAATATTTATTTCTAACAAAATTAATAATGGTCCTACTTCTAGTCCATAATTTAAAACCCCACCATCTCTTTTTCTTTTCTTATCTCACCAGCTTCACAGGCATATATTACCAATGAAAAGAGCACTGATTTAAGTGTTCTGATATTTATTGTTATAGATATAGCCTTATCTTGTTTATGTTTGTTATTGCCTTCCTCCCTACAATTAATTGCCTCTTTGCTTTGCCAGCATATCATCAATCTTCAGCTGTGTTTAACTCTAAGAAACAAAATAGATACAGTAGAACCTCTGGTCACGACCATAATTCGTTCCATAACTTTGGTCGCAACCCAATTTGATCATGACCTGAACCTAATTTTGGAAATTTGGTGCTTTAAAAAAAATGGCACGGAAGGGGAAATCAGCCGTGGAAAAAAAATGTGGTGAATTTTTTGGTCGGAACCCAATTTGGTTGTGGTCAGAAGCGTTCATGACCAGAGGTTCTACTGTATTACTGTTATGTCATTGCCATCCAGTATAAGTTCAATGAGTGTATAGGTTGATGTTTTACTTTTATCATCTTTATGTTTCATGTTAATGTAGATTTTTCACTTTCTGTTTTTATTTTCAAAATGTATCTTTTAAAGTGTTTATTGCTTTCAGATAATAAAGTGACAGTGTCTAGATATCTGCTGTTGCTGCTATTTGGACCTCCAATTTTCATTCCAGCTATCATCTTTTCCAGTGTGATCATTTTTATAATATATTCACTGTATAAGTTAATTAATATTAGAGAAATTATTTTATAAATGTGTCTGTGATAAGACAGACTTATTAGTTTCATATTTCTTTTGCTTGCACAGTTGGATAACTTCTTTTTGTTTTATAATAAGATTCCCCATAAAGGGTTCCTATTATGTTTTAACAAGTTTGGATACTTGTCAGTTTTTAAGTTAATTAACTCAACCTACTACTAATTTGTTCACCATCTCCAGATATTGGTTAGGCATTGGGGTTTTTTTTCATTTATGTGAAATATATACGGATTTTTTTCTTCCAAATAAACAGCAGTAAATGGCGGAGTGTGTGTGCCATCTTATATTTTCTGGAAATGTGGTTGGTAATAGAGAAAATAAAGGAAGATGCTATTGAAATCAGTTCAGTGGCCAGGAAGTACAAAACAGGAAGGAGTTACCTGCATTCCATCAAAGGAGATGAGAACATGAGCTCTTCTTGAGTTCTGCTTTTAAAAAGTATGGTCTGTAGTAGATAAGTCCCCTCAGCCAGAGAAATTGCTACATCAATGAGTACTCTGAAAAATCAGAATGCTTTGTAAATGAGAGGAAAATAAGGCTAATAAATTGACTAAACGAACTAGATCCTATGTATGCTTCCATAGGAGGAAGAGCCACTAGAGCTTAGGTTGATATGCTGCCAGGAAAGTGTATATAGATTTCATTGTGTTCAACCCCCAGTACAATAACCCACTAATTTTCTTTTTGCAAAAAAGGTCAGCCCAATACCAAAACAATTCCATCCCTAGCTTACATAGAGCAAGCTGGGCTAAACATATCCATTCCATACAACTACAACCTCTGCATCCTTATCTAAGAATAAGAGCCATAGAACTCAATTAAACTTAGTAACATACTACAGGTTGAACATTAACAGAATGCTAGAAGGATTTCTCATTTTAGATGAGAAACAGGGATATGGAGAAAAATAATACCAAAATAGAATGGATAGTGGCAGTGTGCCAACAGAGCAGAAAGATGCTGGATCAGGAAGGCATTCCTTGGAGATCTTGACTGGCATCCAGCCAGGAAAAAAAAGGCTAAATACAAGAAAATCCAAAAAAGGTATAGAATGTGATCAAGGAAAACTAACGTTCACCCTGTTACTATGGTGATAATAAGTCCAAGCCATATGAATTAACGTTCAAACTTCTATCAGCCATAAATTGATTGGAAGTAACCTTATTTGTTATTTGTTCGCTGAGGGGACCTGATAGGTGTATGGTATTAACTGCATTTTAAGATCAAATAATCTAGTTTCACAAATTTTCAGCTCACCTATAGTTGTGATAGTGAAGTACAATATTCAAACTCATTGATCCAAGTCTTATCGGTATAAGACTTATACTTATTTTATATATTCATTTCAATTTCTTTATATGAATGAATCCCAGAGCATAAGAAGCTTTTAATGTATGTGGAATTCCAGTTTCAAGTAATAGAAACTAGTAATTTCGAGTAATACCTTGATCAAAAATTTCAGTGGCAGTGTCTAAGTTGCTCTTCATCCGAGGTAAACACTTAGTATCAGTTGAGTATTGTAGCTAACAGAAAAGGTGAGTGACTCCCTGCAGTTACTATTCCTTTGGTCGCTAAATTTTTTTATCATAATATTCATCCTGGAAGTGACAGAATTATAAGTAATTGGGAATAATAACTCATACAGTTTTGGGTGAGTGATACTGTACTGTATTAAAGGATGTGGAAAGTGTTAGAAAGTACAGAGTGTTAAATGGAGCAATCCATTATACTTCCCTAACACATTCTGTGCAACGCTGTGGAATGCAAGTCCAAGGCCTACAGGACCCTCTGGGGAGTCAGAAAGGCCTGTGGGGCTCTAGTGGGAAGGCCTGCAGGGATCTGATGATGATGGGAAAGCAGGCTTAGGGTGGGAAAAGGGATGTAGGAGACCTGGGGCAATTGGGCCAATAGATCTGTGTATACCAAATGCGAATACTTTGGAGAAAAGCCAAAAACCAAATGGAACAAACATTGTTTCCTTTTTTGCTAACATGAAATTGCCCAATTCTGATTATTTCTTTTTATAAAATATCATTTTCTTAGATTTCTCAGTTGCTTTATTTTCTGAGGCAAATTTGTCATTAAAAACAAACAAACAAATGCAGTTTATTTCTGAAAATTAGACTGGGAGGGAAAGAATTTATGGTTATATTATAATTGTCATCTTCTTGTTTTTTATACAGTTGAATATGACAAGGAATTCATGCCTTATCAGCATCATCACAAGGAGTTCAAATTTAATTTGTCTCAGATTCCAGAAGGAGAGGCTGTTACTGCTGCTGAGTTCCGAATCTACAAGGACTGTGTTTTTGGAGGCTTTAAAAATCAAACCTTTCTAATTAGCATCTATCAAGTATTGCAAGAATATCAGAACAGGTTTGTCCTTACTGCTAAAACCGTGAAACCAACATAGGCATAAAAATTCAGATTCTATCATCTCCTATTTCTTGAACCATTTTGTTTTAATTTTGTGGAATTAAAGCTGTTCATTTTTAAAAAAAGATCTTTATTTCTATTCACGCTAAATTTTAGCAAATTAGCTAAATTGGGGGATGAAGAAGGGACAACACACTATCAGAAGGGAAAAAAAAAGAATATAGCAGTAAGATATTTTCAAACCCTGTATAGTCGAAAGAAAATAGAAAAGGAGGACATCAAACGATACTTACAAGCAAGAAATCTCCCAACTCTACTGGACTCAACAAAGGAAATACTAAATGAAATACTAAATAATGAAATACTAAATGAAATACTAAATAACGATGCTAGAGTTGAAGAGGGCAATCCAAAAGCAAAAAAAATAACAAAACCCCGGTCCCAGACGGAATTCCAGCAGAATTTTATAAAGAAATTCAAAAACCATTAGAGAACTTATTATTAGAAATATACAATGAAGCATTAGAAACAAGCTAAGATACCAAAATCTTGGACGGAGGCAGTAATAACATTTATCCCCAAAGATAACACCGAGAAACAAAAGATATAAAACTATAGCCCAATCTTGCTGTTAAATGCTGATTATAAAATATTTATGGCGATAATGTGGGAAAGAATTAAAAATATACTAAACGAAATCATACACCCAGTTGTTTACACTTCTGCAAACAACAAGTTCTATGTTTAGTTCTATGAATGTCTAATTGAAAAAAGGTAGTGACTAATATACTTTGCAGTTTGTGATATGTCTTGTTTTATAAAATTATCCTCAGAGTAGTCAACAAAAAAGGATAAAGCAGGGACATTAAAGTGAGGAGTACATGTTTGGCTTCAGTTTTAAGTCCAGAATATAGTGATGCAGTTTGCCATTAAGATTCACTACTTAGAAAATAGTTTCCTCAAAATATTTGAAAGAGAGGTGCATTTATTTAGTTTGTTTCATTGTATATTGCACCACTGTTTAATTACATTTTTCAAATAATTAAATATATGTTTAAAAGACATTTGAAAACTACACCTTCATAGTTTGCATCGGTATGCAAAGCTCAAAAAGTTACACTATCCACCAATTTTATTACTGATATTAATCTTGAGCATTTCAGTTAACTCATAGGAAACAGCACTTGCAAAAGGAAGGTACGCAATCTCCAAAAAAGACACAGTTGCTTTCACAAGTTACAGACAGATGCTGTGTTTGTGTTCCTTTGAGTCAAAGAACCTTTTTGCTTTCATATCTGAATCACTATTCAGCTCGAGAAGGCACTTTCCTGTGATCCTAACTCAGAAATAGCTCAGAAGTGGAAGATGGAAGTAAATGTTCTATTTCTGAAAATGTATTATTTGAGGATAGTTTCATTTCACTTAATCATCAGAGGCCTGCTTGAAATGAAAGGTTACTCATAAAATAGCATTGGATTGAGGGGAAAATATCAGTGACGTATGGAGCAAAATATCTACAGAATTAATCAACTCATCAAATTTAACCGCATTAGGAAAGATACATACATATATAACTGTCACAGCTGCAGGTTTTTTTTTAAAAGAAGCCTGAGGTTACCAATATGCAGAGTCTAGACTGTTATGTCAATGTGTCATTGAAGAATAGTAAACATCCAAAAAAAGTTGAGCATGAGGAAAGTTTTATTGAGTAAGGATAATTAATAGCTCCATAAATTGCTGTTGATGTGTAATGGTCCCGTTAAGCACCTGGGTAACAGTGACCTTTGAAGACAGGCCAAAACCTGCAGTTCTTAAAAGGTAATTAAAATAAGAAGGTCTCTGTTTGAAACTCAACAGATTGAAAAAAAAAATGGTCTGTTTATTCTCCCTGAATTTAAAGAAATATACCTGACTGGTTGGAAAAAACCAGCTAAAGCATTGGATAGTAACTGTAAGGAAAAACGGTTTTTTGAGGGTATACCTAAAACTTTTTTATTGCTTGATGTGATGTATGTCTATGAGAAGGAGGAAAATTATGTTTGTCTGACAGTGTACTTATTAAACCAGCAAAACCAACTGTTTTATTAATTACATAAAATGTTATTAAATAGTCAGTGCCAGAAAAATAAAACAGCTTCAGGATTCTTTCCAACAGCCTTAAATAGAATTTTAGAAAAAGAAATTTCAGATTGTGTTGAAAATACTGTAATCAGTTGCAAAGTACTTGTCTCATGAATGCTGTAAATATAAAGTCAGGATATATTGGTTAAAAATAGTAAGTAGGGTTGATATTTATAAAAAAGCAAATGAACACTCTTCTTTCAAAGCTGGAGCTAATTTTTCCTTTCTTGAGAGCCTTGTGGTCTAGAAATGTGGGATGGAAATTCCAGAAATAAATGATTTCTGTGTTACCAGCACATCTATCTTGCTTAGGTAGACTGGGCACTGTTTTTTTCTAGATCATCTGTTTGCTGACCTTATTTACTCTTACAGAGGTTTACTGCAGTAAAAAATGTGTTTACTGACATGCACACGCACACACAAAAACCACCTTGTAGGGCAAAAAGAGCGGTTCGAATCCCTATTGCCGTGTAACGGGATGAGTTCCCATTTCTTGTCCCAGCTTCTCCTAACCTAGCAGTTGGAAAGCACGTAAAAAATGCAAGTAGAAAAATAGGGACCACCTTGGTGGGAAGGTAACAGTGTTCCATGCGCCTTTGGCGATTAGTCAGGCCGGCCACATGACCACAGAGACATCTTCGGACAGCACTGGCTCTTTGGCTTTGAAACGGAGATGAGCACCACTCCCTAGAGTCGGGAACGACTAGCACATATGTGCGAGGGGAACCTTTACCTAGGGCAGGGATTTCCAAACTTGGCCCCTTGAAGAGTAGTGGACTTCAACTCCCAGAATTCCCCAGCCAGCAACTTGCTCATATTTATAATGGATGCTGGCTGAGGAAGTCCATCACTCTTCAAGGGACCAAGTTTGGACACCCCAGACCTAGGGCAAAAAGAAAAAAAAAAGAAAATAAATCTATAGAACCCCTTGACTTCTCTAGCTAGCTGAAGACTGCATTTGGAGATGTTTTAAGTGTGCATGCTATAGTAGTTCAAATGGCAGGACTGAAGAGAACCAATCAAATCCCAATAAATTTTCTCTATGTAAATGAATATTAAAGTAATTTACAGTCACAATCAATACAATGACACAATGAAAACATGCACTCATGGAAAATGTTTTGTGAAAAAGTGTTTTGAATCTTATATGAGCACAGCACCTCTCTACTATTAATCAAACAATGCCCTTTTCAGGATTCAATGTGAGTCCCCTCCCTTCCCCTCAAATAAAGGGTATAGCTAATTCCTTAAAAGCAGCCAGTCTTTTTCTGGTTCACATGGAATCCTAACAGTTGATGCTACTTTAATGAATAGCAGAAAGTGGCTATGCTTATTTCACTCCAAACCATTTCTAAAGTTGCTGTTTTGATTTCTATTCAAAAGCATAGATGCCTCCAGGAAGGTTATAGGATATAGGGGAAAGATGATGTGAATCATGACATCATCAGGCAAATGATTCACTATATTGTGATATCATTGATTTGTGTCATTTGCACAATGACATCATGATGCGTTATTATTTTAACATCATTTTGACTTCGTTTACAGACTCAGCTGCTAATAAACAGTGAGAGCCCATTTGATGGAGAGGTTAAGTTGCTGGACTAAAAACTGGGAAGATACAAGGTCTTTGCTCCCCTTATATCATGGAAGCCAGCTCAGGAACTTCAGGCCTGTTACTTGCTAAACCCAGCCCACCTAATAGGATGAATAGGAGAAAGGAGCATTATTAATGCTGCCTTATATTGTGAAAAGTAAAAGATGGGGTATAGAATTCAACACATAAATAACGAAACTGCTGTCAGTAACTGATCTCAGCTTTCAGTCACAGAAAATATAGCAGTAAATCATGTTTTTTTTTTCTTGTTCTCAGGCATATATAATATTGAAGAAGTTTTACCAGGAGTTTAGGAAATTTAGAGGCTTTATTAGTGAAGCATACTTTCACTGAAATGCTAGCGTGAAGCTTAAGAGAAGTCCAGGTCAAGAAATAACAGATTTGTCCATTTTGCATTTTTTTTTTTTGCTGTTTTAAACCAATTTTGTTTTGTACTTTTAAAAAAAAGATATAATTGCTTATGTGTACTGTCTCCTTAAGCTTACCGTGTTTGCAAATGGTTAAAGTACAGACAAAGGGAGGTTGGAGCTATGTTTTTTCTAATGAATGTTCTTTCTAATTATCGAATGAAGAGGTCAAATTGTGGGGTCCTTGGTGCTCTCTGAGCTTGGTTTTCTTGCAGACATTTCATTGGCAGACTAGGTAATATCCTCAAGGCAGATGATATTACAGATCAATCCTGAACTGCAAGTATTCTATTCTACCATTTAAACTTTCTCATTATGCTGATGACTAAATCCACAATCTGACTATGATGGGAAATAGGACTGTACAGTCCTATTTTCCAATTACAAAAATAAAAATCTAGGTGGAACCCCCAGATTGGAATTTAATTTGGGACAATCCCAGTCAAACTGGAATGCATGGTAACCCTGTTTCTCTTTCTCTAGTCCTCTCTCTCATGCCATATACATTTTTCTTACCATTTTGTACCATATGATATTTTTTTGTTCTTGCAATCACTCTTAATATAAAAATGTATTTGCCAGGATATTTGATACATACCTTTTTTATTGTAAAATGAACATGTTAACTGATTAAAAAAAAGAGTATTAGCAATTTGTCTAGATTTTCATTGCTGTAGTTTATAATAGGACAAATTTTTTCTCTTATATAAAGCATTGTTTCTCAACTTGACTTGCTGGGGAGTTAGTCCACATATCTTAAAATTCATAAGATTTGGTATAAAATAATTAGGAAATATTAAGTAAGGTCAGATTTAGGAATGGAATCATGCAGCATGCTGCCACCTTGAAGCACCCCCTTAGAACAAAGTCTGGAAAGCACTCTACAGAGTGACTGGCTGGGAAATTTGGGGAGTTGAAGTCCACACATCTAGAAGTTGCCAAGACTGAGAAGCCATTACATGACATGTAATGAGGTGGTAATAGAATTTTAGACTGTATCTCTCCAGAATAAGGATATGAGTTTCAGACATTTAAACATTTCCCATAAAATATGGGAAGAATATTTCCCATACTTAGTATATAAGAATATGAAGAAACTGAATCTATTAATTGGTTGAGTTGTGCAATTTGTTTAAAGGAGATGCTTTGCAATTTGCAAGAGAACATCTAAAACATTTTTTTTGAATCATGAAAGTAGCCATGTCTTGTTCCAGCTCTGTACATGTGCTTCATACATTGTTCCAGTGGTGGGTTTCTCCCGGTTCAGCCCAGTTCTCCCGAGCTGGTAGCGGTGACAATATGACATCACCGAACCGGTTCTGCCCCCCGGTGCCCCCCCACCCCTGCGGTATTCTTACCTTTTATTTGGCCCCACCCCCAATCTATTGCTGCCTCCTGAGTCCCAGCTGCTGGCTAGAGGGAAAAAAAACTGTTTAAACTCTTGCCACGGGGCTTCAAAAGGCTGCCCTACAGCTGATCAGTGTTAAAAGAAAACAAATGAATAGACCAGTGCCTGCAAAAATACATGCGTAGATCATTGCCTGCAAAAATACATGAATAGACCAGTGCCTGCAAAAAATAAATGGGTAGATTGGTACAGCTCTGCAAGCAGTTAAAAGCCTGGTAGACCAGTACCTCTGCTAAATCCTAAATAATTGTCACATGACCATCAAGCCATGCCCACAAAATAAGCCATGCCCACAGAACCGGTAGTAAAAAAATTTAGAACCCACCCCTGCATTGTTCCCATTCCCTTAATTTGTAAAAGCATACATCTTATATATCTTCTAACCTGGTGTGTTGTACTATACTAATAACACACCAGGTTAGAGATAATATAACGTAATAATATAACCAATACTTGAAAATTAAAATAATTATAATCCTAAGCATTAAGTAGAGTTGGGAAAGGACATTACAATAAAAATAATTTTGGGCTACCATATCTGAGTTGTAAATTCTGGTTGACCACTAGATGTCAGAAAACAATTTGAGCTTATATCTACATCAGGGCAAACTCCCGACCCATGGGCCGGATGCATCACGCGCTGACCACACCCACGCCCGGTTTAGCAAAGGGGGGAAAAGTCCCAATACATCACGTGATGCCGCTGTGACGACATGAGTTTGACACCCCTGATCTACATTATTAGTCTTCTGAATCTTTTCAATCTACATATGATAATGATTCCATCCTTATAAAAATAGGATTAAAGGGACGGATAAAATAACAGTAATACGCAATGGAATCATTATTTTAATGATTTCAGTATTTAATGCAGTCCTTTTTGTACTCCTAAACTATCCCCCCGTTTTCTTCCTTCAGAAATTCGAACTTGTTTATGCTGGACACCCGAATAGTATGGGCCTCAGAAGAAGGATGGCTAGAATTTGACATCACTGCTACTAGCAACATGTGGGTGATAAACCCTCAGCATAATTTGGGACTCCAGATGAGTGTGGTGACTAGAGATGGTAGGTATTAGACCAACATATTTTAAACATCTGGCCAATGACCTTGTCATTAAATGGAAGCTATGTTTATAGCATTAAGCTATGATGTATCTGGCTCATGCAGACCCACAGCTGTGATATGATAACTGGGCTCTGAATCCAACAGCACAGATTGAAAGCTTCTTGATTATTTTATCCCATGTTTGTAGTTATGAAATACTGAGAATTCCTGACTTGTGAATATTGTTGGTGGTTGTTGGAAAAACTCTCTGAAAGTACTTTTTTCTAGGAATGACTACTAGATGTAGGGTAATTGAACCTTTGCCTAGGAGGTAGACAGGAATTTCAATGTGTTCTGTTGACTGGATTAGAAATCACACTGCTTACTTTTCTCTGTAGACCAGCAGTGGTAATACAATGTAAAATATTGCATCAGTCTATCAGTTTGTACATCTGATAAAGCTACAGAACAGGGCTGTCAAACTCACGGCCTGTGGGCCGGATGCATCAAATGCTGGCCACGCCCACGCCCAGTTTAGTGAAGGGGAAAAAAGTCACGATATGTCATGTGACGACACCGTGACGATGTGAGTTTAAAACCCTTGCTATAGAACTTAACTTATGTGATGCTGGTGGGGGTCTCATGTTACATTTCATTTTTGCAATAGACCATGTATCTTTAATAATCAAACAGGTTGGTAGAATGCCTTTCAGCTTCAGTTGATGGGGAAGCATACCATTTTTAGCTGCTTAGCCAGATTCAAATATTGCATGAATCCACAGCATAGCTTAGTTGGTTTTGTTGTTAGTTCTGCTATGTCAATCCAGCTATTCATGTTTTTGAACTGTGGTTTATTGATTACCCCCTTTGCAAATCCAACATGTCCAGGCTCATATGGTGCAGTTACTAGGTGATTTAATTGATTCCCATTATTTGCTAACAAGACTTTTTAAAAAATAATGCAGGAAACATTTTGCAAGACAAAAGAATTGTGAGAAATAAAAAGAAATTTGATTCAACTGCTATATTCATGTTATAATTTTTAAATAAATGATAATAGCTATTGAATAGGAAGAACAAGCAGGGAAAAATTAAGGAGGGTCAGTAAGATGTTGCATGTATGAAAACATCTACTTGGCTCAAAAGAGCTATTCAGAAACACTGCTCTTTATATGACATACTACCTTTTTTGGTTTAATTTATAGGTCTCAGTATAAATCCTAGAGAAGCAGGACTAATAGGTCGAGATGGCCCTTATGATAAACAGCCTTTCATGGTGGCTTTTTTTAAAGTGAGTGAAGTTCATGTTCGGACTGTTAGGTCAGCACCCAGCAGACGCAGGGACCAAAGCAGAAACCGCTCCACACAACCACAAGATGTTTCCAGGACATCCAGTATCACAGGTAACCTCTTACATACCTGCTGGGCTATGCTTATTCATTACACGTCATTTTTGAGCACTTTATGAAAAGTTTTTTATTCATATCTATTTTTTTCTTTTTCTTTTTCTTTTGCAATTCAGAGGTGGGTTTCAGCAGGTTTTGATCAGTTCTGGAGAACCAGTAGTGGAAATTTTGAGTAGTTCAGAGAACCAGTAGTAAAAATGCTGATTGCCCTGCCCTCATCTATTTCTGCCTTCCAGGTGATCAGGAGGAAATGGGGATTTTGCAGTAACCTTCCCCTGGAGTGGGGTAGGAATGGAGATTTTACAGTATCCTTCCCCTGTCATGCCCACCAAGCCACGCCACACCCACCAAGCCACGCCCACAGAACTGGTAGTAAAAAAATTTGAAACCCATCACTGATTTACCTTCAATAAAAAATAGCTCAAATGTTTTTTTTAATTGGCCTTCCCATTCTAGGACTCTAGTAAGTGACTGAGTCAGAGTCGCCCAGGCTTCTGTGCTTAATTAAGTGAGGTCCAGAACCCGGGTCTCTCTGTTTCTTGTCTTAGCACCTTCACTATTACATTATATTGGCTTTTTTAAAAAAACAAGAACTAATTAATTGTGTGTGTTTTTAAAGAATTGTAGATTAAATCTTACTTAGAAACTGAGTTATTTTCTTCCTGAGTTACTGTTTGTTATATATCTTCCATTTAGTCCTGCCATTGATTTTATCTACAAATGCTGACATCTTAACCTGTCTCAGACCTTATTTTCTGTCTTTCATTTATTCTCAATTTTGCCAAGTATACTCATTTTTTTTCTAGTCTATCATCTGCTTGAATCACTTTCTAAAAAAATTGAGTAATTGATTTCTCATAATTACCTCAAAGGAGCAGTCAAACTTATCTTCATTAATTTCATTGTTGTAGTTTATGATAATCTTAATTGTCTCAAATCCTTAATTTGGAGAAGCCAATTTTCTTTCTCTTGGTGTTAATGAATTATCATTTTTCATATTCATATCTTACTACTGAGGAAAAAAATACCATGGCTGTTGTGATCTTTGTTGTTACATATCCTTTTTCTTCATGAATTTATATGAATTTCTCATACTTTCATCTCTAGTGTATTAATCCTTTTTTCATTCAGCATTCTCTCCATTATTAATTCTTGAGCCCAACAAAATTAAATACCATTTTCATATTTTCCTGGTCAACTCAGAATTCACAAAGCATGATGGCATTATCTGTGTCATCTCAATATTTCACATAATCCCAGATTTTTCATTTTTTACTTTCATAATGAGGTCATCAAGTTTCTTAACATTCAGTTAAAGAATTAATGTCAGCTATACATCTCAAATTGTCAGTGTTTCAGCCTTCAGTTTTGATTTCAGCTGTCACCTGTGCCATTCTTAAAATATATTAAAAGGGTATGGAGACAAAATACCTTTGTCTTACTTCTTTCCCCATTCAGGACCACTTTGTTGCTCCCACATTCATGTCTTACAGTAGCTTTTTGTTCATTTTAAAAATTCCTCATAACAATAATCAAGCTTTCTGGCAAATTTATTAACTTTAATGCATTCCATATTCTGTTTGGATCCACACAAAGGCTTTTCTGTAGTCAATAAAGTAATAAACTCTCCTCCTTAAATTATCTTGCTTTCTCCATAAGCCATTTCCTGAGCTAACGGAAACACTTTCTGGGATAAAACAAACAGGGAAGATATTTGGACAGCAGAACACCAACAGGTTAAATTGTATGTAACAGCTCAACTCCAAGCAGAAATACTCCTAAACACCTAAATTTCCTAGTGATAGAGGAAATCAGAGATCAACTTAGAAGGGAGTGTACTTTACAAAAGCTCATGCCTTTTAATAAAATTGATTAGTTTGAAAAGGTACTATAGGCCCCTGATTTTTAAAGATCATAGAATAAGGTACTCCTCAACTTACAACCAGGGATGCTACTCAGCAGCTTCTGACAGGTTCTGGAGAACTGGCAGCGGAAATTTTGAGTAGTTTGGAGAACCTCTGGCTGGCCCCAGAGTGGGATGGGAATGGAGATTTTGCAATATCCTTCCCCCAAGAGTGGGAAGGGAATGAGGATTTTGTAGTATCCTTTCCCTGGAGTGGGGTGGGAATGATTTTGCAGTATCCTTCCCCTGCTACGCCCACCAAGCCACACCATACCCACCAAGCCACGCCCACAGAACCGGTAGTAAAAAAATTTGAATTCCACCACTGTTTACGACCACTGTTGAGCCCAAAATTTTTGTTGCTAAGTGAGACATTTAGTAAGTGAATTTTGCCTCATATTATGACCTTTCTTGCCACAGTTGTTAAGTGAATCACTGTAGTTTTTAGGTTAGTAACACAGTTGTTAAGTGGATCTGGTTTCCCCATTGATTTTACTTGTCAGAAGTTGCAAAAGGTGATCACATGACCCCAGGACATTGCAATTGTCATAAATATGAGACAGTTGTCAATCACATAACTGTGGGGATGTTGCAACAGTCATAAGCATGAACAATGGTCATAAGTCACTTTGTTCAGTGCTGTTGTTTGAACGGTCACTAAACGAACTGTTGTAACTTGAGGACTACCTGTACCCAGTTTTCATCCTACAGTGAAAACTCCAATCTTTGGAGAGGCAGATTTCTGACAGATTATAAGAGCTTCTCCCTTTTAACCTGTGCTGGTGCTATGTCGATTATTTAGGAGGATTGATCCAGGGCTGAAATCCAGTAGGTTCTGACAGGTTCTGGAGAACCGGTAGCGGAAATTTTGAGCAGTTTGGAGAATCGGTAGCAGAAATTTTGAGTAGTTCAGAGAACCGGCAAATGCCACCTCTGGCTGGCCCCCGAATGGGGTGGGAATGGAGATTTTGCAATATCCTTCCCCCAGGAGTGGGGTGGGAATGGAGATTTTGCAGTATCCTTCACCTGCCATGCCCACCAAGCCACGCCCACCAAGCCACACCATGCCTACCAAGCCACACCCACAGAACCGGTAGTAAAAAAAATTGGATTTCACCACTGGATTGATCTGAGTGAAGTCTGGCATCACCAGGTCACCTACCAGAACTCAGTGATGAAAAACAAATCTGCCCTTTCATCCAGGTAAAATAGTAGGACAGCAAAGCATTCAAGACTTGCGATGGGAGTACAGGATAGCGCAAGAAAAAAGGGACTGCTTATCATAACACATCGGTATTGCTCTGATGACCTATTATCTCTGAGTTTTCCAAAAGATTGCTACTAAGAACACCTTTACGCACATTTAACAGGACTAAAAAAAATTAATTTACAAAAAATAACCCAAACCTGTGCTAGCCTAGTATTTCTTGAAATAATTTTAATCTCCTGTCCAGTAGCACAAGAATTAAAAAATGATTTTGGATTTCTAAAATCCAAAACAGGTCCTGTCAGGTGCTGAAGTTATGCTCTCAGATAATTGCAAACAACAATCTGCAAAATGTAAGGTGTTTTAAAGCAGGTGTGAATAGTCTGATTCAAGCAGGCTGCTTAATTTTGCCCTTTTGAGTGCTGAAAATCAACTCTGTATAGGTAATCCTCGATTTAAAACTGTTCATTTAGCGACCAAAGTTACATCACTGAAAAAGTGACTTGATCATTTTTCGCACTTACAACCATTGTAGCATCCTCATAGTCATATGATCAAAATTCAGACAATTGGCAACTGACTGATATTTATGACGGTTGCAGTGTCCCAGGATCACATGATCACTTTTTGCGACCTTCTGACAAGCAAAGTCAACAGGGAAGCCAGATTCATCTTTCTAACTAAACAACTGCAGTAATTCAACAATTGTGGCAAGAAAGGTCATAAAATGGGGCAAAACTCACTTAACAAATGTCTAGCTTAGCAACATAAATGTTGGGCTCAATTTTGGTTGTAAGTCAAGGATTACATCCTGAGGAAACTAAATGCTGTGGTTTTTAAAACTGCTTTCACAGAGTTAAAAACAGTGCTTATTTTTTTATTCTTAAAAATTCCTGCAAGAAAATAATGTGTGTAGCAATGCCCCATTTATGTAGTAGCTGTTATGGTTTTTGTCTTCCATGTGCTATCTGCATCTTTGCCTATTAAAAATTGCCCACTCTTGCTTTAAGAACTATAGCATCTTCCATCAACTTACAATTACAATTTCCAACATTTTTTTTAATACCTCCTAACAGATTACAACAGCAGCGACCTAAAAACGGCTTGCAGAAAGCATGAACTTTATGTTAGCTTCCAAGACTTGGGATGGCAGGTATGCGGTGTTTCTGTCTTAAATGTGGCCTTAAAATACTATCTGGGATATTGATGCTGGTTTTCTTTTTAGCAGATTAGATTTGTGCAAGTTCTATAGAAGTACATGCAGGGAGAAAGGAAAACTCCTTGAATATCCTGCTCAGTTATATATGTCATAAATATCACTTGAAGAGCAAATTTTAGTTATAGGCTGCAATAAAATGCTTTTTCAAGTGTTTTCTAGAACATACCTAATACTATTTTGTTTACTTTATAATATTTATAGTCCTCTCCATTCCTGATGGATTTTGGACAGGGTCAGCAAAACTGTTATGGAAGTTATGGAAACAAATGCACTCTCCATTAAACATCAGGGGTGCAAGAAATGTCAGGATCCTTCTTGTAGTTTCTAAACACTCACAGTAGGTAGAACCAAAATGCGAGGGTTTTTTTTTATTTGCATATACTGGGCATGCAAGTGTAAAATGAGGATTTAAAGCTTGGAGGGGTTGAAATCGTTTGCAATCTAACTCCAAGCAGAAACTCTTTTGATCATTTTTTTAATCCCTTAAAAATCCTGAAACCCCCTTCCAGAACACACTATATCCTTGCCCACTTTGACATGGCACACAAAGCTGAGGTGATAGAATCTGTGCGTCTGTCCTATAGACATTCACCATGTCTATATCTTAGTGATCAATTTTTATATTTATGATCTTTGCATGTCTGTAAAACAAAGCAAAGCTAAGTAAGATCATAAGGCACAGTTGTGATTTCACTTAGTGGCGACTTCATTTAACAACCAAGTTACTGTTTCCAGTTGTGGTAGCTAAATGGGAATTACCTGTATATGAGTATACTCTTCATACTATAGGATTGGCAGAGAAGATTCAGAATTACTTTAATAAAAGCAATAGCGCTTAGACTTATATACCACTTCACAGTGCTTTACAGCCCTATCTAAGTTGTTTACAGAGTCAGCATATTGCCCCCAACAATTTTGGGTTCTTATTTTACCCACCTTGGAAGGTTGAGTCATGCATGAAAGTCAGTATTAGAAGCAACAATAAAGATTTTCCTGTAATCAGTGTTTCTCTATGAATTTGTAGGATGTTATAAAGAATGGTTTACTATCTCTTTCCTCGGTCTTTTATATTACATAAAGACAACAGCCTTACACTATAGAAATTATTTTGTTATATTGTCGAAAATTCAAGACATAGTAAACAATTTTATAACATCCTGCAAATACAGAAACACTGATTTCGGTGTCCCTGTTGTATGTATTAATTAACCTGAGTTCTAACCCATATAATATTCTTGTTAAGGATTGGATAATTGCACCAAAGGGTTATGCAGCAAACTACTGTGATGGAGAATGCTCTTTCCCTCTCAATGCTCATATGAATGCCACAAATCATGCCATTGTGCAAACTTTGGTGAGTATATGTGTATATATATTACAAGGCTCATAACTCTAATTATTTTGAAGGATTTAAACTTGTCTTTCCTCCTGAAGGAAATATAACTGATTTCTTCAGCATATCTGGACTGAGACTTGGTTAAATTTACATGGAAATAGGTAGATAATTTTGGCATTAATAAATTAATTCATTAATGTTAGTGGTGGGAATACTAGCAGGATTATAGAAAACAGAGGGATACCTCAGTTGGGCAATTTCATTAACTTTTTATGAAAATGTACAACTGCACCTCACTTTAAGTAGCTAAAAATAATAGTATAGGCTTGCAAAATTGAGTAAGAGCATAGGGTGGCTATATAGACATAGAGGCCAACTTGATAAACATGCCCCAATCTCAGATGGATAAGATAAAACTGCAGTTTAAGAAGGACCAAGTTGAAATTACAGGTAATATTATCAATTTCTTTAAACAGGTTCACCTAATGAATCCAGAGAACGTTCCTAAACCATGTTGTGCTCCTACAAAACTTAATGCAATTTCAGTTCTTTACTTTGATGACAATTCCAACGTCATTTTGAAAAAATACAGGAATATGGTGGTAAGAGCTTGTGGGTGTCACTGACAAAGTATCTTTACAAGACGCAGCAAAAAAGAAAATCCAATGCTTCTGGAACAGCATTTGTGCCTTAAGAAAGAATAATGAAAAGCAAAGAATTCTGTTACTACTTGTTAAGTATTTGCACACTCATTGCTTTTTGATCCGATAGTTTTAAGTAGGCCAGCAGAGCAAGTTAAACAATATGGATCCTGTGAATACAAAGAGAGATGTGACAAAAGTAACCTGATGTTTGAACTACATTTCAGTCTTACTAAACGAGCGTCCCTCACATTTTGGATAATATCTCAAGAAGAAAACAGGAGTCTGCCTAAGGAATAAAAAGCACAATTTTAAGTTGAAATTACAACTGCATAGAAGTTAACGAAACTTCGTTAAGGCATAGAAACCAAATATGTGAGATCCTGGAAACTACTGCAAGAAAATGTCTTCTATTTTGATGAACTGTTTCACTTAAATTGCTTCCTTTAGAAGCTAAAGACAGCTTTTATACATTGTCCTTTCAAATAAAAGAACTGATCATATGCCTCTTAATAATTAGGACAACCTTGGTTGAGCTACCATTTTGGGGAGAAGGGGGTATTTTAGAGACAAAATTATCAGACAGATAGGAAGATGCTTCTGTGTTATTTTCAAAGGCATTTTCTACAATTACATCCTATTGCTAATTCTGACTTTCTAAGTATCTTGGCATCACCATGACCAAGCATGCACATGAACCCACTATTCCTTAGACAAAAACATGAAACTCCACTGGACATATGGAGGAATTGAGGAGTTTCAAACTACATGTTTTTGTTTTTTTTAAAAAAAACTGGTTTCCTGAAATGGGAAAGAAAATGACGTTTACTAAAGAAGAGACACTTACCTGATTGCTCTTCAGAATAATGTAAGTTGACAAGGTGGAAATGAGGCAAAGCTGCAGTCAGAAGTACAACTACTTTACATTTACTGGTAATAATGAGGCATATTCTTAATTTGAGAAAAATACATCTCAATGGTATATGAACCTTATTTCTAATGTCAGATTCCAGATAAATGTCCAGGCAAAATTTCAACAGTGCACTTCCCTTTGACTACTTTGCATTTTAAGAAGATTTTTGTAAATAACTAAAGGTATAATTTATTGCAGTCATCAGATATATTAACTTTGATGTATTATTTAGTAAGACCATGATTTTTTTTAAAAAAATTTATTCAGAAATTGTGTAAACAATTGTACCACTTGATTTTGTACAAGAAACTTACAACTTAGCCGGCTCGTAAGATTGTGCTTCTTTAGGTTTTTAAAACGAATAAAGGCTCCCTTTAAGGCAGAAATGTGTTGATTTCTCTGCCATATGTGATTAGCCCTTTCAGTTAACTTCCACAATTCACAAGGATTCTTTCCAGGTTTGTTCTGGACAAATTCTCCAGCCTTCAAAAAATGAAGGAAGGACAAACTAGAGTACAAACACAGAGTATCTAGACATGGCTATGTATATCGTATATCTTCTGTATAGACCTGCAGATAATGACCCGTAACTCTGTCCCAGAAAGATGGCAATAATCCATATGCAAAATAGATCAAGATTTAGCTGCTATAGTTTGATCTTGTATCACTACTTGCACAAGAAAGTCTTTGGCTTTAATTCCCCTCTTAGGGCATACTAAATTGGAAACAGGATTGAATGAATGGGGCTGGAGAATACACACACCTACAAATCATCTAGAAAAAAATTATGAGCAAGTTTGATTTCTTTGTTATTGTGGACCTGGGAAAGAGAAGGACTTTCATAGACTTCTAAAGTTGTACTTGTTCATATGTAAACATGGATCCTAGCTAATCCGAATTTGACAAGTTGTAAATAGGGGGACGACCCTCACCCAGTAAAATTTAATTATAATGTTTGGAATTGAAATGAATATCAAATCTATGTGAAGACAGCCAAGTCATGTAGTTTAATTAAATGGAGTGTTGGGCTTAGCTGAGAGGTAGCATCGTCCAATATCCAGACCTAGGCAGTACCATTAATTTTCATTGCACTTCCTCATGAGAGGAGACAACAACAGAAAGTAAATAGCCAGGGATAGCTTCCTAAGTGTTTGTGCTTCTGTCTGCTTTTCTTTAGAATTTCTTCTAATTTGGTTTCCGAAGGAGATTAAACTCTGCAAATTTTATGCAACGGATATTGTACTAATGTGTTATCTGCAGTGAAACCAATGTGTTCTGATGTTAGCTTTTTTCCTCTTAATTTTTGTTTCAAAACACATTTTTTTCATCATATGACAAGTGGAAATTCATTAATGTAACCAGTACCATAAATACTAGTTCCTAATTTGAACAGTTACTGTTTGTTGTAACCTTCCCTCAAGTTTAGCAGAGTAGATAATAGGAAATACAAACATATGAACAGACAATACCACGCTTTAGAACATCCAGTTTCCCGCATGACCACTACTGGAAATCCAATAATGTTACCATGATTCAACTTCCAAGTTTACTGGACCCAGCTAAAGAAGCGGTAACTAAGCACTACATTTTTACAGTTCATCCTTGGACTGTCCCAGAACAAAGTTGTGCAGTGTGTCGAGATCTCTGGCTCCTGTGTGTTCAGTTATTTTCTCACCACTACGGAAAAGTAAGAGTGTTGGGTAGCCATGGACCTTCAGAAAGAGAAAAAAAGAAATCTGAAAACACCATCATTTTAACCTTATCCCTTTATTCAGCATATGTTAATTAGCAGAAATACCCCCCCCCCCCAAATCATTCCAGTTGCATTAAATGCAATTCGGTACATGTCTAAGGCATATTTAAGTCAACCTAGATCACTGTTGTTTTCTTTGGCTGCAATACAAATGTCGTTTGTCTTGACCATCTTCTGCCTTTTGTTTTAATTTCCTAATGCTATAGTCCTAGGAATTGCCCAGAAGTCTCCCATCCAAGTACCAACTAGGCCTGCCCCTTTTTTACGAATTTCAAGATCTCCAGCATGTTGACCTTGTATAACAGGTGTGAGAAAACCTTTTATATCCCAGTGTATGGCTTTAACAATAAAGCAGTAGGACTGACTAAACCAGAGATGGGGAGTATGGCCCCTTTATGACTTGTGGACGTCAACTCCCAAAATTCTTGAGCCAGCTGGCTCAGGAATTCTGGGAGTTGAAATCCACAAGTCATAAAAGGGCCATCACTCCCCACCCCTGGACTAAACTTAATGGCCACTAGCAATTTCAATGTTTAGTATAAACTCTGGAATACCATCTAGCCTTGTGCTTACTGAAAATCTGTTGCAGACATTGCGTTCAGCAGTGCAGTCTACTTCTGCTATCTTCACATCCACTGGTCCTGGAAAGTTCTTTTTTGAGAGGTTCTCCCATATGGGAGCCAGGTTTTTACAATGTCCACACCTGAAATAACGAGTGAATTTTATTTTGGTTTTGTTAATGGTTAATGTAAGAAATCCATTTTTTTTTCAAAAAGAAAGAAAACTCAATGAAAACTAAGTTTGGGCATATCACAATACAATCTGTTAGTAGTCACACAAGATTAAATACAGATATAAATATGAATCCTTTCATACAATCCAATCATATCTGATGATAGAAAATCAACTTAAATCACATCTACTTCATTAAGACTTACAAGAATCACTACCCATTTTTCATGAGTACATATATTTATCATCCTACCAAAGGTTCATAAATATTCAGCTACTCCCTTTGAATCTAATAAGTTCATTATGAAGGATTAAGGAGATTGCCTTTCTCCAGATTTAGGAGAATATGACAACAATTGCCTTAATTTTGTAATGTTTCTTGGAAAATGGAGGCTTGGAGAATTTGAAAGTGCTTCTGAAACATAAGACCTAAGACAAAACACACTCCCCTTTTCGTGTTTGGGGAGGGAGAGGATCAATAACAAGCCAAACTGTTTGGAAACCTGTATTTCATCATTTTGTGTTGCAATATAAAAGTAAACTACTTTAACAGCTCTTGCATTCTTTCAGATGCTATCATATAATATCTGAGTTAAGGATCGTCAAATCTTTAAATGTGGAAAGAATGTACCATTTAAACAAAACCTTTTTCTAAGGTACCTTAAAAGAAGTTAAATTTCGCTGAATGGGATGACAAAGGCCTTTCTCTTACTACTGATTCTAGCACAGTGATGGCAAACCTATGATAAAAGTGTGAAAGGTGACATGCCATAATATTTTGGGTAACACCGTGACATTCACCACCTCCTGAAAACTATTCTCAACAGCACACACCCTATTTTCATGTTATTTTTGGAGGCTGCACAAGAATGGGGTATGCTCTGTGTGACCTCCAGAGCTTCGGAAAATTGTATGAGAATGGGATATGCATGCAGTTTTTGACGGCTGTAGTGGCTGTGGAAGACCCTTCTCTGAGGATACTTCAAGAAGAGGGGCTTCGTGCAACCCAGGGCAGCCGTAGGGGCCCGTCAACACAAAGACAACATTGCCTAAAGGTAAGTGGCACATGGCAGATCCTGGGGAGCACTGAGCTGTGGGGGCAATCGTGCTGTTCCCCAAGGCTTCTGGGTCATGGGGAACAGTGCAAGGCAGCCTTTTTGAAGGGTAGCAGTGGCCCAATGGCTGAAGTTGAAGTTCTGGCCTTTACCTCAGATGCAGCCTCAGTGCTACCACTGAGTGCCCTAGATGGTGTGTGTGTTGGGGGGGGGGGAGTGTGATTGTTTCTTTTTTGTTGGGGGGGAGATGACACCTTAGCAGAGTCAAGTTAGGCATTTTCTGAATTTTTGACACATACCGCCCCAAAAATTAATCATTACTGCTCTAGCATAACTCTAAATTTTAAAAGGCAGAAATAAAGCATTTGTACATCTATATGTAAAACGCTACATATGCAAGTGCATGATTAAAAGTTACAATGTAGTACAATATATAACTTCTCAGCAGCTCAAAGGCAATTAAAAATGAATGTTTTTATGCTTAAAAGTTGATGAACAAAGTGGTACTTAAAAGTTGGTGAACCAAGCTAAATATATAGTTGTGGATCATTTTCCTCAAAAATGAATGAACAAGTATACTGCTTTTGACTCTTGTTTTGCTGGGTTCTCTACCTCTAGTTTTAGGGCTTGTGTGAAGAACAATTTCACATTTTAGGTCATAATAGTGGAAACATTCAAAAGGTTCACAAATTTTTAATGCCGCTGTACTTTGTATATACTTGATATTTTGTAAATTTAGATTTATTTTGAAGATTATTCTCTTTTAAGCTGTTACCTGTCCTTTACTAGTTCGATAAATAAAAAAATACATCCATAAATAAGGTCAATATTTTGAGAAGTTCTGTCTGTTATATATATATATATATTTATTTGATTTATATGCCGCCCTTCTCCGAAGACTCAGGGCGGCTTACAGTGTGCTCAGCAATAGCCTTCATCCTTTTGTATATTTATACAAAGTCAGCTTATTGCCCCCACAACTGGGTCCTCAATATTGATTGCTACATTTCTTTCCAGTATTCCCCTAAGAAGTATAGTTACAGTTAGGACTAAACTTTATCAGAAACACTTCAATCAATGATATATATATTCTAATATTATTATTTTTTTGCAAATAATTTATTGAGAATGGCACTTGAAAATCTGGTTTATTTTCTATAAATTTCCTCATTTGAACTGTTGCATCATGGGTACACTCCAGTAAATGTTAAACAGTTTTATGAACTCTGAACTACATCACAAAATCTAAACTACATAAATTCTGGAGTGATCACATCTACAATAAATAGAACTGGAATAAGCATATAAAATTAATATTCCTCTTACAAAACGATTTTTAAAAACTAGCAGTTAAAAGCTGAATTTAACATATAAATTATTAAATGCTCATGACATCTAGCTTGAAAAGAATTTATTCCACTGTTCCATAATGTACATTTGTACACTGCCATCTGTTCCCTATCATTATCTCAGTTAATATAATTGTCTTTTTAAATACACTTACTATATATGGAGAATGTGCATTACGGGCATGTATATATATTGAAAGCTACTAAGATAAGATGAACTTCTTGTTACTCAGCTTAATGTAAATATTTAGTTAAAATAAACAGCAAAAGTAGCCTCCATACACTCTTGGCTACTTAAGCTAACATGTAATAGTTCATATGGAACAGAGAAGAATGTGGCCCAATTTCATGCCATCATAGCTTTATAAGTGAAAGATAAACACACCCATTCCCCAAAATTCAGTATTTCTTCACATATTATAAGTTGTATTGCTAGGATGGGTCAGATGGGAAGCTTCAGACAATATGAACATGAGCACAAATGTTACATGTGTGCACAAAAATGGTCTATTCTGAATTAGAGGATGATTCAAACTACTTGAACAGATACAAATTTCAATCCCATTATAATCTCAGACCAGTTTACAGATTCATACTCAAGCACTTGATCATTCAAATATATGTGATTACAAAAATACCAACAAAGTTAAAGTCTACCAAAGTAATGCGTTGAATCCAACATAATCAGAAGCAACCCAATGAAATCAATGTCATCATTAATTAACTCATACTATTATTGTAAGACTAAGTCTTGATTCAATCAATTACTTTTAGCAAAGTTAAACTATCTGTATTCATTATCAAGCAATGGATCTTTAGAAATGTACATGTGAATTAGCCTTCTAAATGCTCATATAGCCCTATACTTTCTGACACGAATGTAGACTAAATTAAATCCTATACTTTCAAGGGAACAACAATTCTCTGAGTTATATGCAGCTGGATAACAGGGGAAAAAAACATTGTTAATTCTCCTTCAGGCAAAGTATGTTACAGACAACCTTGAGGTTCACACAGTATGTCAACACTCAAGAAGTAGAAATTTCAACACTGAGGTTTATGAATGGAGGTGGAAGTAACAGAACTATTTGAGTAGATAGTGTATTAACTGCTAACAAAATAAATGAGGAAAGGAGTACTATCTGAGTACCCCATTAAAATACTGCAGTTCAGAGAAGACATTATACTTTTAATAAAATTAAACAATTCTGCCTAATATCTAACACTAAACTGTAACCGCAAATTAGTCATAGCTATCAAAAGTTAACTATGGGTAATTCCAGTTTATCTCAAGGATTCCACTGATATCACAAGAACAGGAAACAATTAAGTATATATAAAACTAATCATTTATTCTATGTTATATTTTCCAATTCCAGAGGATGAAATAGATAGCGTGGTTGGTAGAATATGCTCCACAACAAAAAGAGAAACAGAAGTTAAATACTTGTAATATACTTCTTCTCTAAAAACTTACCATGGAGCATAAAACTTGATGAAAGTGATCCCATTAGCCACTTCTTTATCAAAATCTTTTTCAGACAGGGAAAGAACTTTGCCCTATCAAAAGAAATAAAGGTTAGAATCAAGTTGCCTTACCCAGGATCCTAATTATAAGCCCTTTATTGTGGATATGCAACATTGGTAATTCCAGGAAAAGCATAATCCAAAGGGAAATAGAATGTTCTAGAATTCTCTGGAACATTCTGATCCCACACTGGTAAATTTTTTTAAGTCAAAGTGATGCAACATCTTTCCTGTTTTATACCCACTGCTGTTAAAACTGTGTGACAGCTAAACAGATGTTGAAAAGAACTGAATTAAATGCTAATGAACTTTTTACTGTTTTTAGTCCAGTGATCTCTTTGTTTTCCCATGGTTCTTCTTTTCGGACAGTCCTGTTTATTGTTATCCCGTCTGACCTGTCTGACCTGTCCATTTGTACCCTGTCACTTTGCTGGGTCACATACTAAGACAGAAAATATTTCTGAGTATCTCAACCTGGCAACACAATATGATGTCACAAGGATAATAAATGAGTTAAAAAAAAGCAGTGAAATTTAATTTGCTGCCATCCAACAGGAAGTAAACATACTACATTTAAATATACATACGATATATGAGTAGCTTAATGTGCGAATGGGGAACTATTTTGGTTTTCCAAATACAGGCATATAATTGGAATTGGGCTAGAACCCTAGTTTAGAAAATAATTTTTAGTGAGAGAAAAAAAATCCCTTTAATGCAAGAACTTCCAAAGATTTACCTCAGGAGTTATTTCTGGTAAAGGTGCTTTGGTGGGTTTAGCATCATTCATGGCTTCTTTGGAATCTTTTAACTGAGATTCAATATACTCTTTCAAAGAATCTAAATCTCTCTTTCCTTTGTATTGGTCAACCTAAAAAATCAAACCACAATTATTACTAGCTTAGCAAACATTTTCTAATGTCCCATTAGAATATGATTATGTTAAATAGTTATTGCAGGATACAATAGCCGATAAATATATTATTTTACCAATGGCTTTGATTTAGCTGGATTCCTAGCTTAATTATTTTTTAAAAACTTTGAAAACCTGAATGTATTTAGACAATGATTCTTTGCTGAACAAAACTTGAGGGAATCATACGGAAATCAGAATTTGGTTTAATTGGGTCTAAACAGACATTAGGAAAATCAAGATGAGTTTTTTTTTGGGGGGTGGGGATCCAGTATTTTGACTGCAGTTGTAAATGGGCAAAAGGGAGAGGTTTTTTTTTACTCCAAGGAAAAGGAATCTGAAATGGTAGAAGGAGAGAGTGCCAGAATATAAAGGAAATGGCTTAAACTAAAGAATACATTCAACTGGTGGAACAATCTTACTATTAGGCCTTTAAGATTTCATTATTCCAATGGGACCTCTTCATTTACACCTTGCCTGAAGGCTATCAGGACCACCTTTTATCTTCCTAGTGAAATCCAGAGTTCAGAAGAGATTGCTTTTGTAAATTCAGCATAAATAAGATTGGAACTCTTACGACAAATTTTATCTTTGTTTAACATGCGTATATATTATGATTCAATAATATAAAGATTTAACTAACAACTAGAGTGCCAGGCTTTCCATAATCACATTTGAGGTAGGCTGAAAAATAATCTAGCCCAAGCAATCATGTAAAAGTAAATCTGTAATTTCACAAATAAGCCCAATTTGCAATTTTCTTACCTTTTCTCCACCTCTGAACCAAAGCAGAGTTGGATAACCCCGCACCTGATTTTCTGAGCAGATGGTAGAATGCTCTGTGCAGTCCACCTAGGGATTCAAGATTTTTCTTTAATCCACAAAGACCAATAATATAGTGTAAATTTATACAGTAAGTATATCCTTAATAGCTGTTTTAAAATGTTTAAATCCATACACTCAACTGAACAAAAGAAGCAACTATTGAATTGATGTACTATAAATTAAAGTGGGTTATGTATGGAGCTAAACTTATTAGAAATGGTGTTGAAATAAAATACGTATTTCTACACTTATAGGCTCCCAATTTCAAACCACAAAAGGGGAAATAGAAAAATTGCTGGCTAAGACTAGAATGAAAAAAGGAGATATGTAAACCCCATAAAATAACTAAATTGATAACAGATTCAAAGAACAAACATGAGACTCGAAGTTGAAAAAAGCATAAAGACATAAATAGCATTTTAAACAATTTTTGTAAGCATCATAAAAAACAATTTGTCAAAACTGAAGGAAAAATAGAGTTTCATGCTTAGAAAGCCAGGAAAGAAAGAAAGAACATTAAGAAAATAAAAACAGCAAATGATAGTAGAAATTTAGAACTTTAATATTTATTGAATGGAATGAAATAGGGGAAAAACAATTAAAAGATAAGTAAGGTTATGAAATTAAACTGATAGAGATGTACAGATGGAGCCATCTAAATCTTGTTCATATTTTTTATGTTTTTCAAACATACATTGTGACTACCGATAGATCTTTTTAAAACCTAAATATGGTCAAATAGAAAAAGCTACTAAAAGAGAAACAAGGTTACATGTAACATTTAAACACACCAACAGAAATATTCAATGAGTGAAGAGTTAAGAAAGCTATATAATGGATTGAAGCAGAGAATCAAGCAGTCTGGAAGACAAACAACAGTGCAATCAGCATGGCATGAAGAGTGTTTTTGGAAAAGAAAACGCACATTTTAAAGCATTATAAAGAGAATAGACAGACCTCAGCTAGAGTAGTAATGTGAGCCAAGCAAGGCAAAGAAGAATCAGAGAGAATATGCCCAAAAGTCAACTTGCAGAGAAGACTGAAGAATGAAGTTGGGACTGAAAGAGAAAAAGAAGATGAAAGTGACAATTTACGGGGAAACAAATCCTGTCTTGTGTACACTAAGTCTCAGGCAATGACTGAACCACCTCCAAAGCAGAAACAGGCCTAATTTAATGGAAAATATTAGACAAACTTTTGTGTTTAGAGGCAGCATATCACTAAAATCATGCTTGGGGATATTTGCCTTCATACAGAAGGTTTTTTTGTTGTTGTTGTTGTTTTTGTTTTTAGAAAATCTAGCTAGATTCAGCAGATATTTATGCTTGTTTTTTGTAATACAGAAGCTGGGATAAAATACACCTGGATAACATTGTCTAATGATAGCGGGTAAGGACTAAAGAGGAAATGGGATTATCAAAAGCAAATATACAGTAAATTAAAAAAAATCAACTAAGAATAACATCCAAGGACTCTGAGAGGAAGCTAAAGCCCATTAAAGGAAATATAGTGTTTGTTTAAAAAAATGATAGAAGGGAAACAAAGGAAATGCCAATAAACTCCAGAAAATGAAGCAAAAGAATAAAAAATGAAAATCTATATCATATTGTAAGAAACACCAAGGAGAATAATAACTGACAATAGTTCGTCTGATGTGGCACAATTAATATAATTAGAGACATCAAACAGAGTAAAATCTCCCTCAAGACAAGTTGCAATCAATACATAAACACCATAAAAAAAAACCTGGAGTCTAAATATTTAAGAACTTAAAATTATTAAAGAAAACAATTTAAACTAATGGCGCAAACTGAAACATAAAAAGTAAGATTATCTAGAAAGAGTAGGTAAACATTAAGTGTTTAATTTAAAGTTATAGGGCTTGGGAAAATAAAATAGATTTTTGCTTAGGGCTAGAAAATAAGAAAAAAAGTATGCCTTTCTGGGAATCTGCATACATATTCTTAGCAGCTGCACCTTAACACCTCAATCTGGGTGGGGGGCATACAGAAAAGACTCTCCAAAGATGATTACAGGACTTGGTGGAATATACAAAATAAGATACTGTGATCCCAAATCATGAAAGACTTAATAGGTTTTCACCTGAAATGGATCCCGAAATGAACTAAGAGACATTGAAATATTGGGATGATTTGATCCTAATACCTAGTTCTTGTTATTTCTGTAGTTGCTATATTTTATACCACCTAATATTTTCACAGTTGAAAAGCTCTGCTCAAATTGAGATGTCTACCATGGTATTCTTCTGCAGAGGTATAAAAAATTGCCAAAGAGGTTCAAAAAGAATCAACGCTCCTTATAAATGAGTGATGAGAGGAAAGGGCAGAGAAGAAAGGTGACTGGTTATTGTGTATTTTGTCAGCATCCTTCAGCATTAATGGCATCTAACAAAAGTAGTGATAGGAACCGAACAGAAAAATTGGTAGCAGAACAATCAAGGTTAAGATATTAACTACATACAATTTAAAACGTAATTAGTAGAATTTATCAGAATAAAAAAGGGATGAGAGCAAATCTTGAATATAAGGAAAATGTTAAGTAAGGAATCATACATAAGGAAATAATTAAGAATAAGAGCTAGAAGTATGGAGAAAGATAAACCAGGATACAAAATCAGAAAAACGAGTAGGGAAAAGAAATGGTAGCAATGTATGAATTAAAATAAAAAACTTAACTTTGAAATAAAAAAAATGGAAAGGGGAAAATAAATAACCAAAAACTTTCATAAAAATGAAATGAGCCACCCCATTTTTCATAGCAGGAGTACTCTAAACCTTGAGAATATTAGAAGCAGAGTTGTTAAATTATCAGCTGCAATATATATGTATGTATGTATGTATGAATGAATGCATGTATATATGCATTTAAATTGGAATGCTGCTCAACTCTAGTTAACTGAGTATTTAAATTTATTAAGCACAGAAATTATGGTTTCTATCTGACCAAAGCAAGGAGGAAAAAGAAATTAATTCATTTACTTTAAAGGTAATCATTTCTCTGTTCCTAATGCTCTGATGAAATGAGATAGGATAAAGCAAATACATAATAGTTTTAAGCCTACTGAACTCAATGGAAATAGACTAAATTACATACTTTTGATTTCAATAAAATTTAAAGCAGCTTTTCCCAGACTTGTCCTTAGGGACTATAATTCCGAAACCACACGGCTCAAAAAAGTGACTCAGTAAGAAAGAAAATAGGTGAGGGGCAACATGAAAAGAAAAAGAAGTTAGCAGAGAAAAGGTTAAAAAATTACCAGCCATAAACTGCATGTTTCTTATATACAGCTGAGATTTTTCTCAGCTTTAACAGTGCACCCAATTGAATACTCAAGACTACTAGCAGGTTTTTTTCCCCCCATCAGAAAGCCAACAATATAACTGTATAGTTGTTCCAATACCTACAAACAAAATGCTTACAATGAAAACAAGAGCTCTGTCATAAAAGTAAGCTGCAGGGCTGGCCTTTTTCTTCTTTAAAATAACAAAGCCTATGGAATCCCTGCCTCTGTATTAACTACTCATGAGATTTCTTACAAAGGGTAAGAATTTCTCCAGGATAAGCTGTTTGCTAAAGCTACTTCTCAGGAAGCCCAGGACTCAATCAATCAATCTCAAGCAAATGGATAAGCAAATGCGTTTTGACTAACACACAAGGCTCCAGTAAACTCAGGAATTATGGTGGGTGAATAGCTTGCATGAAAGATTCCAAAATGGGAATAGATAATGTTCACTGTAGTCTATGAAGCAAACAGTGTTCTTTTTTTGGTCAGTGCTACTCCCAAAATAATTCATTTTCAATTTAAGAAGATTGAACTGCCTTGCCAATCCCAACTTACCTTTCCAATCTTGACAGACTTTGATCGTTCAAGGGACATAGACAACTGTTCCCAAGTAGGTGCCAATGCCTTGCAATGGCCACACCAAGGGGCATAGAATTTGATGAAGTGATTGCCTTTAAAAGAAAAGAAGGGCTGCAGTACTCACACAAAACTGTTTATTCATTCATTTAGTTATTACGTATCTCTCTTTATGCAGTACTGCTTCAAGAAGAGGCAAGTCTTTGGCTTATACCATATTTAGATTTCCATTCCCAAAGAATCACACTTTGATTTCCTGCATTACAGACTAATCTTCTAGTTTTATACTTAATACTCTTAATGATTTACTCTGGATTTCTCCATCCGAATAATTCAGTAAAAGCAGAGTATTTGTTTGAAAGTCACTTTTCCAGATCTGCAACTTGTAACAGAGTTCCCCAACCTTTCTGGCTTTGTGACCCAGCCAGAAGGGAGGGGCAGAGGGGATGCTTCTGCATGAGCGGCAGGCAAGCACACATGCAGCTCCATTTGCACGAGTAGCGGGCACATGCACCTGCCACTAGTGCAAATGGAGTGTGCTACAATCACTAGCAGCTCATGCAAGTGGGAACACTCGTCACATTTCTGTAACCGGGTTCTGAATGGCTCAAGTCCCGGTAGTGGCCGTAGCCCAGGGACCCCTGCCTTACAATGATATATATCTTTTCAAAGTTCTCAGTCAAGTTTCCTCAAATAGCAGAAATTAACATTTGCTGATATAGCTTAATTACAAAACTTTTCACTAAACTTCCAATTACCGTACATTCAGTGGTGAAATCCAAATTTTTTTACTACCGGTTCTGTGGGCATGGCTTGGTGGCTGTGGTGTGGCTTGGTGGGTGTGGCAGGGGAAGGATACTGCAAAATCTCCATTCCCACCCCATTCCCTCCCCACTCCTGGAGGAAGGATATTGCAAAATCCCCATTCCCTCCCCATTCCTGGGGGAAGGATATTGCAAAATCTCCATTCCCATCCCACTCTGGAGCCAGCCAGAGGTGGTATTTGCCGATTCTCCAAACTACTCAAAATTTCCGCTCCCAGTTTTCTGAACTGCTCAAAATTTCCGCTACCGGTTGTCCAGAACCTGCTGGATTTCACCCATGTACAGGGCAGTGAACATTCCTCTTTAAATCTTATAGATCTGCTTGGGTGGATGACAACAGAATTGCTGATGAATTCTCAGTGGAGGAAGATACTGGAAATAAAATCTTTTCCAACCATGTTGCAACTAATAACTCATTGGGTGCCACAGGTTTGATAAAGTAGAAAAGCCGTTCAGAACACCATTCAGAACTGAACTGCCATTCACACCAGAGAATAGCCAGCCGTTGCTCCCACTCCAGCCTTAAGCTGAGAAATGAGTAGGATTAATCACCACTATGGGTTTAAACTAGACCACAGGTCAACACAACTCATAGAATGTAACATTGTTTAATGTTCCAATAATGGAGCAACTGCTACAATTAGACTATTAAGCAGACTGTGGAAGGCCTGCATCACATTGCAGTTTGACCCAATTTTTTTTCATTATGGGATACTATATTAAAATTAAAAGTTATTTTAAAATGAAACATTAAAAAGAATGTTCAGTACCAATGATCACTATATACATTTGATAAATGAGGGCCTTGGTACTGTCTGAGTTTGGTTGTTTTCTTGCAGACATTTCATTACCCAAACTAGGTAACAGCTAGTAAAGAATGCGGTTTGCTTTCAATTCTAGTGGCTTGTCCTGTCAATGTTGGTGGGAGTGGCCTTGGAGGTTCTTTGGTTGGGTTCTTTACTGTTGGCTTGTTTAGCAGTTCCTTGATTGGGGTATTGTTTACTTCTTGAGTGTTAGTCTGGTGTTAATCTTGGTATTAATCTATGCTCATCTGGATGTTAATTGCTGGCAGCGAGATGTTTAGGTCTTTTGTTCCTTTTGGCTTGTTAACTGATTCTTTTGCACAATATGTACATGTTGTTTATATTTATGTGTCTATTGATAGCCAATTTATCAGACTGCCAGGTTTCCAGGAATTCTTTAGCGTTTTCGGACTTGGCTTAGTCCAGGATGGTCACATTCCCAGTTGAAAAGTATGGTTACAGCTGTCCATATGTTGTGAAATTAAAGACTTTTCATCATGTCTTCTGACTGCTAGTTGATGTTCGTGGATATGTTCTGTTAATTTTCTGCCTATTTGTCCCACATAGTGGCACTTGCAGTCTTCATACTATATGGTGTAGATGAATCCTGTTTTATCTTCTGGGGCTGCTGGGTCTTTTGGTTTACTTAGGATGTTTTGGAGGGCTTTAGTTGGTTTGTGTGCTATGCTGATTCCTTGTGGTTTTAACAGTCTACTGGTGGTTTATGAGATGTTTTTGATATATGGCACTGTTATCCTTTTTATAGCTTATGTTGGTTGTGCTAAATTGGATTGAGTGATGAAGTTGCCATTTTGTTGTATAGATGGAAGATGTGGTATAGCTGATCTATTTCCCTTTTCTGCTGTTTAGGGTTACTGTACCGTGCTTGTGGTCATCTAAATAGAGTTCCTACATAGCTTCTCTTGTGGGAGGTTGGGTTATTGCTTTGGTAGTGGAGCATTACATTGATTGATGTGGGAGATTTTTAGGTACATTTGTGTTTCTAGTTTGCTATCGTAGTCTCTGCTGATCAGGTTATCCAGGATATCCTGATCGGCGGGTAGTGAGGTAGTGAGTTGTTTTTGTCTTCCCTGGTGAATTGGATTCCTTTGAAGATGCTGATGGTGGTGTGGATGTTTTCTTAAGTTGTCATTTTTTATTATGGTGAAGGTGTCAACTAAATATCTGACCCATATTTGTGTTGTATTTGTGGGATTGCTATTGAACCTAGATGTTGCATTACAATCTCTGCTAGGAGTCTTGAAAGTGGTGATCTTATCAACCATATACTTTCAATTTGAAGGATAAACTTGTCAACAAATTAAAGGTACACCTATGGGATCAACATTAGACCAACAATCAAGAAGTAAACAATACCACAATCAAGGAACCATCAAAAAAAGCTAACAGTAAACGACCCAACCAAAGAACCTCCAAGGCCACTCTCACCAACACTGATGGGGCAATCCACTAAAATATAAATTGAGAGGAAACTCCATTCCTTACTAGCACTCATGATGTTACCTGGTTTGGATAATGAAATGTCTGCAAGAAAACAACCAAGCTCAGACAGCACCAAGGACTCCTCATTTCAACCCTAAACCACAAATATTATCCTTAATTTGATTGATAAATAAATAAATAAAATTACCTTCGGCTACATGTTGCTTGAAATTAGCTGCCGAGAGCTCATAAAGACCTTGCTTTGTATCAGGTGCTTTTGATGGCTTCAGTTTAGGTTCTTCCTCCTTATATTTAGCAACAAGAAAAAGAACATAGAAATCAGCATGCTTAAATTTAAAAAAGAGAAAGAGTTACAGGTAGTCCTAAATTTACGATAGGTTGTTTTAACAACTATTCAAAGTTACAAAGAACTTTTTAAAAAATGTACTTACAACCCATCCTTGAAATACCGGACCTTACAACTGCTGCTTCCTGCCCCCCGTCACATGATCACATTTTGGGTACTTGGCAATCAACTCAGATTTACAACTGGATGCCAGTGCCATGCTCTCATGATCGTGGTTTGCAACTTTTTTGTCAGTTTGGCCATTTGGAATAATGAATTTACTTAACAATCATGTGATCCACTTTACAACCATTGTAAGAACGGTTGTAAAATCACATCCAATCACACTGTGCCTTGACTTACGACTGCAATTCCAAGTTCTGTTGTGGTTGTAGGTCAAGGTCTACCTGTAGTTTTATTGCTATGTACATAATAAAATTATAACAACTATCCAAGTTAACAATAAAATTACAATTTGTGTCTATTTGTGTGGGGATGTCTAGTTTGTTTGAGTGTATGTGAGAGAGAGGGGGGGAAGGGAGACGAAAGAAGAGAGAAGAAAAAGAAAAGAGGGAGAGAGAGAGAATATTTATTTATTTATTTTTATTTATTAATTTAATTTGTATACCGCCCTTCTCCCAGAGGAGACTCAGGGCGGTGAACAGCCAAAATTAAAAAACATACAAATACAAAAGTTAAGATAATTAAAAAAGAATTATCTCCCTAACAAAAGAATATCTCCCTAACAAAAAGACAAAACTTTGGTATGATTATAAATGAAGACATCCTCTTTCCCTAAGCATTTTTTTCACAAAAGGATGTCCTGGGACCACATCACCCAGAATTCCCTGTCCAACTTAGACGAGCATAGCTATAGGGAATGAGGTTGTGGAAATCCCTAAGTTAAAATCCAGAAACCACCATATTTCAAGAAAGATGAAGAAAGGCTCCTCTGGGAAGCAGTTTCTTCATGCATACATAAAAATAATTTTGTCTTTGGTCCAATAAAGAAAACAATGGGTCACATTTTATTTATGTCAATTCCTAAGTGCCCTCCTCCCATTGTCATGAAGACAGCAAATCCTGTGTTCAAGTTCCCCTGAATTTTAGCCAAAGCAATTTCTCTTTCAATATTCTTCTCACATCTCCATAAAGATAAGGCTCATAAAATTTTGTTCCAGAAATGTAAACACTATTCTGCTGGCATCTTTTAACAGTTCAACTATATATTGTCTCTTGAATAAGGACTGTTTCTGATTACTTACATCATATCCCTCTTTTAATTTCTTCAACATCCAGTTCTCTAGTGACTCAAGTTCTCTAGGTCCCTGATATTTTGCATCTTCTTGGTGTCGTCTAAGTAATTTTAGACTGCAAATTTCAGAAAACAATAAGCAAAATAGGTTAATAGTCATTTAAACTTGAAACATTTTTAAAACAATCATCATGTCATATCGGATCCCAGACAACATTCCTCACAATGGTTTATTAATATTAATTCTAACATTTCCGTTAATTTCAATAGCATAGCCTTAGACTTTCCAAATTTAAACTGCCATTGTTCTGCAGACTTTCAAAAGTTCTTTTAAAGCAAAGACAAAAGCCAAGTTAACTCCCATGAACACACTCTCAATAAACTTTATTTGTCCCTAAAACAAAATATATATTCTTCGGTTCCAAACAAAGCTATTAAATGAACCAATTATGGGGAAATGATGGTTGCCTATGATTTTATTAAAGTATCCATATTCCCTTTTTTTCTGAGACTTTGCATCATCCATTATGCATTTCCCCTTTTAATGTTTGTATCTTTCTTAGAAAATATTAAAAAATGGGAACAGAATGCCTGAAAAAATATGGCAGAGATAAACCAGATCTGCTCTGCTATTTATTTGGCTTGCAAGGTAGCCAAACTGGAAGTTAAGCTGTTAACTCTCTAGGTGAAAAACACACTATTGCTACAATTAGGAAATTATATGCCATCATTCTTATATTAGCAATTATAAAAATAATAATTAAAAAAAAACAGGCCTCAAGAACTAAGTGTGATGTGCTGCTACATGTCAAATCCTTCTACCTGTGGTTTGCTAATAAAATAGTGGATAATTTACTACAAATGCAAAATGGAGAACATGATGTCACCAAATGCAGCTTGGCCAGGATGAATTCATAAAACTTCTACAAAAGAGAGGGGAGTCTTTAGAGAGGAATATTTCTGCTGACTCTATTCTATAGCCCATGCTAAGAACCTTAGAGCTTTGGAATTACACCCTAAACTTCCTGGCTCTCCACCGTTTTGATCTTGCTTTAGTAACAAACAATTTCTTAATGTAAGAAAATGGTTAACACTTTTTTTGTCCTAGTCTATTAGAGCAATTCATCTACTTTCTGCTTGTTATAAAACTGTTGTGGTATATTTGCACAGCTGTGCCTACCAGGTAGAAACACATTTGTTTACAATACGCTGCAAAGGGTCAGTAATGAAAATATTGGATGCTCATCTTGTATCACCATACTGCTTTTACTACCATGAGCGAAATAATTAAAGCAACAGATATTAAGAGCCTTTTGTATGTACTCTGGTTTTACAGTTGCATAAGCTATTGCTACTTACATGCTATATTCAAGGAAGGGGAAGGAATTAATACAAATATAGAATGTCATGTGTTTACAAAACAAACATTCAGAAGCTCTCTTAAATCCATAAGAGTTGAGGGAAAACCCATAAAGTATTATTTTTTTACACATACGTTGGGTATCCTCTGACACCATGTTCAGAACACAATGGTGTATCTGTAGTGCAGTCCACTTTTACAATATAGACCTGTGGATTATCCATGTTGTTGTACTTGTTTGCAAGTTTGTTCCAAGTTCGCTGGAAACTCTGGCAATGCCCACACCTGCAAGTTTTAAAAAAATATTCTGGTGAAAAAGTTGTTAACAATTCTGAATCTACTATTCTATTTTATTGAGATTAGTGACATGAGGAATTCTACATACAGTATATCTAAGTTATATTTTCTCTCCCATACATTGGATTTTATATAAGATATAGAAAGTAGATCTTTGTCCAAGTTCATTTTCAGTCTGCTTTCTGAAACTGTTATTATTATTATTATTATTATTAGGTTCCTTCAAACTTTGGCAGAATTTTTTAATATGAGGAAAATAAAGATTACAGTTTTTCTTTTATTTCTAATATTACATAGTTGATAAACTAGATGTGAGAAATCAGTTCATTAGAATAAAAGCAACATCATTTCTTTTATATCTACTACTGGGATAAATACAATATAAATTTGTGCTGTACTGCCAATTAATTTAATGTCTATACTTTAAAAACTCATTGCTGCCATCAAAAAAACGAACAAAAAAATTTGACACCTGTTCTTTGACTGGCATTATCTCTTATCTTCAGCTCTTTTCCTATCAGCACAGTAACTAAGGAGGAGGGTACTATATTCAGCCTCTCATTTATTCCAGGATCATTTGGTTTTAAACAGTTAGCATTTCACTTAACAATAATGTTGTCTGAATGGATAGAATATGACAAATTGTTTCCCTTTATTCAAAGACCTTAGTAAAAGTCCTCCATCCTTAATTAGAAATTATGTGTTTTGTTTGTCCTAGGGAGCTATTGGCATCTTCTGTTGTTTAGGCATCAGTTATTTGATTTCTTTCCTTCTTTTTACTTTGCCCTTTGCTTTCCCAGAGCCGGTATTTCTCAAGCAAGGATGGCTGGGGAATTCTGGGCATTGAAGTTCACCCATCTTATACTCACCAAGGTTGAGAAATTACAGCCTGCAACAAAACTCTTAACATTTTGAGTTATCAGGCAATATCAGTTAATACTTTAAGTTATATTAGAGCAGTAAAACATTTCATCTCAAGGTATACAGTATTTCTTATGAATTGAAAGCTCCGTTAGAATGGAGCAGACAGCAAGATTCTGAGTCAATTCCAAATTGCCTCTCCAATAGAAAATCATAGAAATAATTTTAATTTTTTTTTCCTCCATAGCCCCGTTTGATCTATCTCATTTCTGAACTCAATCGATCCTTATTTTGCTGGCTTCTTCCCTCACATCAAATTTGGTTCCGTTGCATTTAATTTTCAGGCAGTTATTGTTTTGACCGACAATAACTGTCCCAGCCTCCTTTACATAGGGCAAGATCTTTCTGAACCCAGAAAATGTTTAAAAGAGTGATTTGAATATATGACAGATAAGAAAGAATCAGCAGTTCTTTTTCCACTTACAAAAACCTACATATTAACTGCCTAAAATCTATGATTTTGGGCACTAGTAATAGCTATTCTGATTCAACATGGCATTCCTGTTAAACCAGTGAAAATTTAGGAATGGTTCTGAAATTCTGCAAATCTGACATAACTTTAAGAAATACTCAGCTGCAGATCTTATTAAAAACCACAGGTCCATCCCCATTCTTTGAAGCTCCTAGAACCTCATATTTTTAATGAATAGCTAAATATAATAAATAGTATGTTATCGCAAACCTGTTGTGCTCTTTATAAAATACATAAAACAGGCTTGCCCTTTTTATTTTGATCTATGCCTTTCATAGTGAACTAACATAAAGAAATAAATCTTCTTTATTAAAGTCATGGGTGGGGGAACGGCAACATGGAGATGAAAATGAGAAAAAAGACTTCATGAGATTTAATTATTCTGGAACAGAACTGAAGAATGATAGCAATAATGAAGACAGAAAATCCTACAAAAACAAACTCCTGGATATTTTGGTTGATAAACATAATTCAATAATCATTTGAAAGTAAATACAGTCATCAGAATCTTTGCTATTAATTTTTTAAAATACAATGATTTAAAATTAACTGTTTAAGAAATGAAGTAGTAGCTATGGTTACAATGAAAACTATGAAATTCAGTCTCTAGAACTTTATCATAGCAAGTCTCATTGAATTTAGTGGGATGTGCTCTGGTACAACTCTATTGAAGAATATAGTATTAGTATTACATAGAATTACAAAACTGGAAAGATCCACTTAGATCATCAAGTCCAATTCTCTGCTCCATGAATGGATCCAAGATAAAGCATATGTAACTGATAGCTACAGTATCTAGCTTGTAACAGGAACCTACCTACCTTGGGAAATTGATTCCACTGTCAAACTGCCTTTAGTGTTAGAAAATGTTCCGTGAAGCACAAGAGGAACTGGCTTTCTTGGAACTTTAGATCCATAATTATATTTCTAATAATTCCATAATTCTATTGTCCTTTGGAACAACAAAAAATTAAAGACAATTCTTGTCTTTAAAATAAGCATTCCCACTTCCCAGGACTTAATTTTTAATCCTCTGATCACTCTTGCTGCCCTTCTTTGAACCGCTTGTAGTTTTTCTGAATCCTTCTTAAAATGTGCCCAGAACCGGACACAATATTCAGGGCAGAATCTAATGAATGCAGAATAGCAGAATTATTACTTTCTATGATTTGGCAACAATATTTTTGTGGAAAATATGGAATCTGCATTTATTTATTATTTTGGCTACATCATGCTATTGACTCATACTCAGTTCAAAATCAATTGAAAACTCTTTTCCACAAGTAATATTGCCAAGATAAATATCTGTCTCAAACCTGAATATTTACTTATTGTTTCCTAAGAGAATTCTCCATTTATCTCTCCTAAATTTATTTTCTTTACCTATCTCTAAGGAATATTTTGCAGGGATATGGCCACATAAGACATCAGAAGTCTAGCTCAATTGAAGACCTCATCTTATCCTCCTCAATGACCCCAGATTGTTGTGAACTTTCATTTTTCTCTTCATTGGAACTTTCTATAATTATGCTTATAGCATTTCCTTTTTCTCCTTTTTTTTTAAAGAAACAATGGCCAATGTTGAGCTTCTTTTCTACGAATGCTTATAATATAAGAATTCTACTTATCAATAATTGAAGTTTATTAAAATCTACTTTTTTAAAAGTCTAGGATGAATGCTTGAGTATATCCAGGTTTAGGTGAAATCAGGAATTCTAGCATGACTTATTTTCTCCTCAAATGTTTTATACGTCATTAGCCAAGAGTTCTTTACTGATTACAATCAAGATACAAAAAACAAAAACCCTGTTCTTGTGCCTTCTTCACAAGCATAAAAGAGAAAGTTGTCCACAGAAGAGATCAGAATTCACTGAAGTGTTTGCAAACATTATTTTCAAAAAGAAGCTGAGAAGATTAAATCCTCTTATTACTAAAGTGTCACATTTGTTTAAAAAGTTTTAATAGCAACCAAGTTACAGAATCAAACCAAAACTTCATGTTTAATACAAAATGGTTGTCATTTCACATGGGAAAAGTGAAATTTAGCAGAACAAGGTCTAATGCAGGGGTGAAATCCAGCAGGTTCTGGAGAACAGGTAGTGGAAATTTTGAGCAGTTTGGAGAACCGGCAGCGGAAATTTTGAGTAGTTCAGAGAACTGGCAAATACCACCTCTGGCTGGCCCCAGAGTGGGGTGGGAATGGAGATTTTGCATTATCCTTCCCCCAGGAGTGGGGATTTTGCAGTATCCTTCCCCTGGAATGGGGTGGGAATGGAGATTTTGCAGTATCCTTCCCCTGCCACGCCCACCAAGCCATGCCCACCAAGCCACACTACACCCACCAAGCCATACCCACAGAACCGGTAGTAAAAAAATTTTCACCACTACCAACTAGGTAATATCATCAGTACAAGCCAATCAATTCAGCCTGTTCTATTTTCAAATTTGCAACTGACTCCTTCAATATTTTGCTGGTCCCAGGAAATCATCAAGAAAATATCCTTTTAGAGTAGACTCTATTTTTCCCCCATTTAGGGAAATATTTCAGTTGACAAACTGATATATTTCAACATAGTTGGTTTTCCCCCTTATTTTAGGGTGGCCTGACTCACTTCCAAACTAATAAATACTGTGCTATTCAAATAGTATTATTTATATACTATTGACTCTTTCCTTCCCAAGTTTCTTTTGTTCACCTCAAAGCAATTTTGGATAGGGCAGAGCTCACATTATGGTTACCCATAATGTCCCCAAAGCCCCATTCACAAATATTTACCATGTGCCTTAACAAACTGCATCTCCATGTCACCTCCTATTTCCCCAGCAGCCCTTGGAAATAAAAACAAGCAAATGAGCAGTGTGCTCTGAGTCACGTCTGTTGACTCCACCTACAAACAGGCACAGCTGAAAAATATGGTTGATTCTGTCCATGGTTCACGTAGTCTGTTGTCTGAGCCATGGAGTCTGGTTTGTTTCTCTTGGAAGAAGTCAGAAAAAGCAGCCAAGGTCAAATTGATGAACTTAGGACTGGCTGGACACATTATTTAGTAAGATTTTCCATCTGTTTTTCCATCTTTAAATTAACTTTGAAGTGGAAACATAGAGAATATCATATAAAATCCATTTAAACTAACGTATGTTTCAGAGTATAAGACGCCTAAAAGGGGGTGAAAATGTAAGTGCGTCTTATACACCGAATATAGCCCCGCCCACCCACTGGCCCCCACCCTTTGGCCTCTGCCTCCCAGCAGTTACCTCCTTGCAAGCAAAGAGCAAGAAGAAACAGCTCCTTTCAGCTTCAGCACAGCCTAATTAGCACAAGTTGATTGGATCTACCTCCCCACTCTCAGTTGATTTGCTCTCAGCTGTTTTGCACAGGGCTCTGCTGCTTGCTGCAGCAGAAGTAAATTGCTGGAGCAGATTTTTTTTTTCTTGTGCTAATCAAGCTATGCTGAAAACGAAAATGAAAGTAAAGCAGGCTGTTTGCTGTAAACAGGCAAAATTGTTCAGAGGCAAAGGCAGAGGGAGATTTCTTTTTCTTCTTTTCCTCACCAAAAAAGGTAGGTGCATCTTATACTCCGGTGCGTTTTATACTCTGAAAAATACGGTAATAAAAGAATTCAGAACTTGTAAACAATGATCATTAAAAAAGATCAATTATGGCTACTAGAAATTGGATCCTAGAAAACCTGTTACCTAGATAACATTTAAATTATGATCATAATTCTGTTTATACTGTATTGTCATTCTTGCTGAGACAAATATAAGAAAAGCTATGAACACATTAGTTGAGGGTCCTTGGTGCTAAGCTTGCTTGTTTTCTTGCCAACTTTTCATTACCCTAACTAGGTAACACCATCAGTGCTAGTAAGGAGTGCTGTTTGCTGTCAGATTGTATTATGGTGTCTAACCCTAACCCCAACCCTGTCTGTGTGGGTGGGGTGTTCTTAGAGATTCTTTGGTTGGGCTGTTTATTGATAGCTCTTTGGCAGTTTCTTGATTGGGATGTTGTTTACTTGATTGTTGGTCTGAAGTTAACCTTGGAGTTAATCCATGATGACCTGGGTGCTGATTACTGGTGGAGAGGTACTGGAGTCCTTTTGTTCTCTTTTGGGTTGGTTGATTGTCTCTCTTGCATAGTCTGTAGATGTTGTTAATGTCTATGTGTCTACTGATGGCTTGTCAGAATGCCAGGCTTCTAGAAATTCCCTGCCATTTTTATACTTGGCCTGGTCTAAGATTGTCACATTTCTCCAACTGAAACTACAGTTAAATCTGTCTATGTTGTGAAATTTAAAAAATTTCATCATGTCTTCTGCCAGTTGGTGTTCATGGATACGTTCTGCCAGTCTTCTGCCTATTTGTCCTACATAGTGGTTGTTGCAGTTCTTACACTGTATGTTGTAGATGACTCCTGTTTTTCCTTCTGGGATTGGTGGGTCTTTTGGTTTACTTAGCATGTTTTGAAGGGCTTTAGTTGGCTTTAGTTGGTACATAATTAGTTGTCCTTTATTGGTACATAATTAGTTGTCTGTCCTTATTGGAAAAGTTACAGCTGTCTTCAGAGAAACTAGGGTGCAACTAACTGTTGCATGGAGATACAATAGTTAATGGCTTCTCAAATAACTAAAAATCCATTTTGGTTATATCCTTGTAAGTAATTCTGCATATTGATCTAGAAATGAAGTTCTACTGAACACCAACTCAAATTTAAGGCAGGGAAATGGGGCAGAAAGCCCTATAGCAGTGATGGCTAACCTTTTTGCCATCATGTGCCAGGAAGGGGGGAGTGGGGGAGGTTCGTGTGCGCACGTGCCCACATCCATAATTCTATGTGTCCTGCCCTGAGCATGCGCACGCAACCCACTCCTGGCATGCGATGGCCCGATAGGCCCATTTTTCTTTGTCACCTGGCTCCAGATCCTCTCTATGCATCTGGGGAGGGCAAAAACAGCCTTCCCCACCCCCTCCAGGCCCTCCGGAGGCAGGAAACAGCCTGTTTCCCTACTTCTGGTGGGCCCAAAAGGCCTGAAAATCAGGTAGCCGGCGCGCACATGCATGCCGGAGCTGAGCTGGCATGCCCACTGATATGGCTACACGTGCCACCTGTGGCACCCGTGTCATAGGTTCGCCATCATGGCCCTATAGTCAAATGTACTGAAACTTACACATTACTCTTGAAAACAGGAGTAATGTAGATTTTGGGGGCCAGGGTGAAAGAGATTAAGTTTTCAGGGAATTACATCCATTGAAAAGTTATCTGCAGCAATGAGCATTATCCCCTCTTCAAAGTAATGGAAAAGAATATTAAGGGTAGTTCTTGTAAAGCAATCATTCAGCAATTATTCCAAGTTACGATGACAGAGAACAAGGGAGATTATGACCATTCCTTGTAATTGTGGCCATTGCAGCATCTTGGTGGTCATCTAATTGCGATCCAGATACTTGGCAACCATCCTGCAATTACGACAAGTCTCAATATCCCATAGTCACTCAATCATCATTTGTGATGTTCACTGCCAGCTTCCATCATGCAGTCAATGGGAAAGCTGGCAGGTGGTCACAAATGGCAATCATGACCATGAGATGCTGCAACTATATGAGATATACCTGATCATGGCAACTTGGACTACCACCTCTCTCTTATAAATCAGCACAATCATGTGAAGTTGTGCTTTATGACTGGGTCACTTAGCAACAGAGCTGGCGGTTTCAATTACCATAATTAAGTAAGAGCCTGCTAGATAAACGAACGCTTAATCATTTCAGTATTCTGTTCTCAAAATGGCCAAACAAGCATCTACAAATATGGTTATGGTTCCCAGAAACTGTACCATCAGGCATTTCATACTCAGGATAACACACAGTAATCATGATTAGTAGATTTTGGTCTAATCCGCTTTAAGAGGTTTGTGGCGATCATTGTATTTTATGGCAAGATGCCATAAAACATTTTGTGCAAAAGAACTTGTTTTGTATATTTTATTTCTACAAAAATTATACTCAATATTGTAGCCTTTTTTTCATAGAAGAGCTATGACCGATCACTTTGTCCAGTGTTCCTTGCAGTTTTGAAGCTCTGTATCACTTTCTGAGTGTGAGCAGGACTGCATAAGATTCTGCCAGTTTTACTTTGGAGAACTTTCCAAATAATGTTCCTCGATTTAAATCTGCTATTTCACAACAGTCACATCCTGAGTCAAAGCTTTCATCATGCCACTCAGCACCATCAACCTCCAGTGAAACATATTCACACTGGTTTATGAAGCCTTACTTGTTTAGGCCTAAGCTCCAGGATTACCTGCTCCCATATAGTCTATCTCACACTTAGGCAGGACTTTTGTGATCTTGCCAAGGATGTTTAACATCAATCTATAGTTAAATCCAAATTATTGAGTTGAAATAAGTCCCATCTTTATTACTGTCTAGGATGGAACTCAACATTCATGATTTCAGCTCTATGAATGCTATCATTTTAACCTTGGTATGAGAGACCTTGAGTTCTAGACCAGCCTTACACAATAAAACCAGCTGGGTGACCTTGGCCAATCATTTTCTATCAGCTTTAGGAATATGACCATGGCAAAAACCTTGTCAAGAAAACTGCAGGACCTAATCCAGGCAGTCGCCAGGAGTCAAAACTGACTTAAAGGAGTGTGCTTACATGCAGTGCCTGCACTGGTGGGGTTTTTTTTGTTGTTGTTGTTCCATGAATATCAATCTGCAGTGCTAGACACTTAACTTCATTAGTTCAACATCTAATTTTGGAACTGATGCTGCTATTTTAAAGTAGCCTTTGTGATCCCTGCTTCACCTGTTAAAAAGTTGCTGAGCTTTCTATGCCATCTGCATAAGGCGTGGGTTGACAACGCTTGCTTCAGTTCTGCAGGAGCTAATACCGTAGGCGTTCAAGGAAGGGATGAGCTAAATGCAGTCATAACTGCCATCTGACCTTCAGAAACTGCTTCTAGGATGGGTTTCCTTTGTTGTATCCTTCCTTTCTCCTGGCTCTACCCCACCGGTACAGCAAATCCATAAGCTTGCAGACAAGGCAAGGTCAGAAAAGATGGCTTCTGTGATTACAAACATCACAGGGCGCCCCCCGCCTCCCTCTCCGCCTTTTAAATGTTTAGGTACCCAACAGGGACACTTTGTGCAAGTTTCTCCACTTTTCATCCATTCATGTTAGCAACCCCGGAAGAAGTCCGCTTTACGCCTTTGGGGGAAAGACAGTAACTTTAGCTCAGTAGTTTGTGCCAAGGAGAGATTAAAGGATTTGCTTGCGTGGAAGTGAACTATCCAAATCTCAGCAAATCCCAGCCTCTTTCTGGCACGGTCTGCGGCTGTGGGAAGCGGGGGAGTGGGCGGGCACGGGATTTGGGGGAAAGCTTAATCGAGGCGGGGCGCGGAGGGAAAAGAGAGCCCCCCCCCACTCCCGCCCCGGATTTTCCCGGGGGCTCCTTTCCCAACCCGCCCTCGTCGGCTCTCCCTCCGGCTGCCACAATAGGGAGAGCCGGGATAGAAGCGCAGCGCGGCGCGCCCTTCCTCCCTGTCCAGGCCGCCGCCGCCGCCGCTCACCACGGGGCGAAGAACATGACGAAGTGCGGTGCGCTCTGGACGCCATGGCGCAGCATCTCGGCGTTGTAGAGGTGCCGCGAGTGGGGGTCCGTCTCGTCGCCGTCCTCCTCCGTCTCCTCCGGCCACATGGAAGCCCCGCGCATGACGAGGCAGCCGAGCAGCAGAAGTAGGCAGGCGGCGGGGGGAGAGGAGGCGCCGGGACGGAGAGCCGAAGCCATGACGGCGTGCTTACAAAGGCAGGAGTGAGAAAGACACCGGCCCGGGTAACGTCGACCAGTCTTCCGCCCGCCCCGTCCTCCTTCCAGCACCAGCCTCCGCCCTCAGCCCGCCTCGACGGAGAGTCAAAGGGCGGTCAGGGGAGGGGCTGGAAGGAAAGGGCCGGCGACGACGAGGCGCGTTTTATCTTCCTCTTTCCCTGCGGATCGGCCGTGGCCAAAGAGGGCTCGGATGAGAAAGCGCCTCGTTGCTATGTTTTCAAGAACCGGGGGCTCTGGAGTTCAGGTCGGATAGGAAGTTACGCATAAAGTGGCCCTGGGCAAGCCTCCCCAAATACGCGGTGACGAGTCGCAGTCTCCACCTGGGGTTCAACTTCACACGGACACCCCGGTTTCTTTCTGATGAGAGCCACTGCTTTAATTCATTGCCAAGAAGTCGGTGGGCACTCTTCCCCACTGTGAGCGAAGCGGTGCCAGTCTAATTCCATTACCTGTAGCTTTGTATTAAGGAGTTGGGTTATCTGCCACGTGAAAGAGAACATAGTATTTATTTGCGTGGGGCTGTCCCAGAAAGATAAGAATGGAGATAACAAACCCACAAGGCGGATTTTTTTTAAAATTTTTTGCAAATCACTTACAAGAATGCAAAGAACTTACAGGAATGAATTTATGTATTAGTATCCCCAACAGAGCAGAGGAATCCATTTTTCCAGCTCCTTCTGGAAATCCTAACAGGGTTGTAGAAATCGCAGAGACAACTTTCAAAATCCCACTTATCCATAAAATTCATTGGGTGAACGTGGGCCATTGGTTCCACTCTTCAAAAACCTATGGCAAAAGAGTTTGGAGGATCAAATGGGGAGAGAATTATCATCTTGCCTGCCTGGAGTTCTTGAGATATGTATATTATAAATAAATTAACAAATCCTTGGAGCCTGAGTGTAAAATTGCATGCTGACCTAAACTTAAATCCCATTCAAGATAATCATATTCAGTTTTGAGTACATTTACATAGGATTGTGCTACCTATACTGAAGTTTCATTAATTGCTTTTGAGTAAATTATTAATGCAATGGTTAATTGCTCTGAATAGAACCCCTCATTAAAATTTATAAACCTAAAGTTGTCAACCAGGTATCATTAGGAAAGTCAGGGGAGTAGCACTTTTTTCCTGCTGCCCAGCATTTAATTATGTTGTTTAAAACATGCTGACTATGACTGAAGAGATGGTATACATTCACATTGATTGTGATATAATTGAGCTAAATCTCCTGTTTTTACAGTAGTGCTGTAGATATTTTTGCCAGACCTCACTTGAGAGCTTTGACTTGTATGTGTTGAACAAGGTATGATTGAGCAATACATGACTAGTGCAAGTTGTGGACATGCCCATATAGTTTTCTAGACAACAGTAACAAGTAATTTACCATTCTTTTATTCTAAGTTTGATTTTGGAGTTCCTTTTCTTAGATGGGCTTCACTCTTGCTTGCAAAGCCCTATTTGCTCTCAACAGAGCTGTAGATTACTCTTAGAAGGTCCTTCATTCAGCTTTACCATAAAGATTGGCCTGCTTGACAGCAGTTCAGATTTCTATTGAGGGATTACAGTATTAAAATTTCTGAACCCTCCCACCACATTAAGGTAGCAAGAATACTTAACAATAAAGATTACAATACATAAAGCATTGATCTTTACAGTATGATTATGAATCATACTGGATGGATATTTTTTTCAATGGATATTGAAAAAAAGGGAAAAAACATCTTTGGTTTATGAACTGTGATGGTTACTTCATAGTACCAGAGATCACAGTTGAATTAAACAGTTGTGGACCAGATAAAGATTTATTGCTCCTTTGAAACAATAGCAGCAGGCAAAACCTCACATAATTTGGACATGGATTATGAAATGTTCAACTAGAAAAATAATTTTGCTTGGCAAAGCTGAGTGATGAGATCCAAGAGATTATTGAACTTTTCTTGGAGGAGCTGCGGATTATTGATGGAAACAGCAAGATGTTTAGAGTTTGTTCATGTAGCTGAGCTCATTTTTATAGCAGCAAACAAAATATAATGTACGAAAACCATACCTGATGACCTGTGTGAATTTATCAATTCACTTTTACAACTTTCTACATTGATGCTCAGCCTTACATCTGAATGGCAGCAAATCCCAAGTTAATTAACCCAAGTTAATTATGCATTGCATAAATTATTATTTATCTCCTTACACTTAATTTCAGTGAGATTTTAAAAATGTAAATATGTCTGTGAGAAAGAAAATGTCTGTCTGTTTACATTGTTCACATCATTTATGAGTTGAAATCCTTGCTTTTACTTTTACTCCTTTTACTTTTGATTTAAATTCAAAATCCCCAGTTATTACGGCCTTTCCTTCTTGGGTAGCTCTTCCTAGTCTCTTAATCATTGTATTTGCTCTTTTCCAGTTGTAGAAGATTGTTTCTCAGGTGGAGTGTTGATCAAATGTATAAGGAGCCACTTGGGAGTAAAACCATCTGCAGATTTCAAGAGAGACTTTTCATAATTATTTCTCTCGGGATGGGGGTGCCTTAAGTCCATATTAATATGGGGGTTAAAAGCAACCAAACATGTCGTGCTAAAAAAGTTATACCCCTGAATTCGGATCTGGTGCCACTAAAAAACAGCAGTCTAATCTTTTCACCACACTTAAAAAAATATTAGTTAAATAAAACTCAAGTGAATTTTATTAAGCTGTTCTTTGGATTTTAGTTGAATGGTGCAAGAGGCTTAAAAAACCCCCCACAAAGATCTTGCATAGTTGATCCTATGCAAAAGAATATAAATTTGGGAAATATAAGCTGAAGAATCAGTTCACATCAGATTTAATAGTTGCCAAAAAGGGATTTTGTGTTGCTTTGTCCCACTTCTTAGAGCTGAAGAGGACATACAACTATCTTGTTTACCCTGTATTAAACTTCATTTTTAAGCATCTAGACCACACTTGGTCCAGATTAGTATCTTCCATATGTGAGATTACATCCCCAAGATCTTTTGTAATGGCTATACAACTATAGTTGAGAAATTTTAGAATTGAAGATCATATATACTAAAGTGCCAGGGTTAGGGAAAATTGCACTAGAGAAAACCTGTAACCAAATAGATTCTAAATTATCGGTAGAAAATGAAATACATCAGGCCTCCCCCCTCCCCCCCAACTCTGTTAGATCATAAAATGGCACTAATGCTAGGAGGCCTACATTTATTTTATTATTTATTTATTTATAAAATTATATAGGCCGCCCATCTTATCTCAAGATAACTGATTTGGGATTTTATTAAATCTCAGGTCTCTTCTGCTATTGAGCTATTTGTATATATAGTGACTAATTTTTTCACAGTGTATTTCTATCCAAATCATGTTTCCCTTCTGGTTTTATGCAATCATTGTTCAGTTTTTCATAAGCCCCTGCAAATTTAAGCTGAATTCCTTTGGTCCAATTCTCCAGTGAGGAAGAGTATTGGCTGTGGGAGATGATAGTGTCATTGGGGCAGTGGTGAAATCCAAATTTTTTTACTACTGGTTCTGTGGGCATGGCTTGGTGGGTGTGGCTTGGTGGGCATAGCAGGGGAAGGATACTGCAAGATTTCCATTCCCACCCCACTCTGGGGCCAGCCAGAGGTTGTATTTGCCGGTTCTCCGAACTACTCAAAATTTCCACTACCAGTTCTTCGAACTCCTCAAAATTTCCACTACTGGTTCTCCAGAACCTGTCAGAACCTGCTCGATTTCATCCCTCATTGGGGCCTCTAAAACAATATACATCCATCATTGTTACCATTACACAAACTATGAACGTTGAGAACTGCTTTCTGAATTTTCAGGCTCTTTAAAAAACACTATATCTTTTTCCTTATCTGTTGTATCTTTTTAGACTGATGCTTCGGAATATCTTTTTTTAAATTATTCTATAAAACACTCTGGAAAAATGGGAGCTAGAAAATTGAGTGTATGAGTATTCCTTAACTTACGACCATAATTCCTTAACATACGGTCAGAATTTCCACTGCTAAGCAAGGCTGTTAAGTGAATTGAGCCTGATTTTATAACCTTTTTACTATGTTAGTGAATCCCCCTTTTTGCTTGTTTTCGTGGCTGTCCCTGGTATACTAAGGTTTTTCCCCCAAAACCAAATTTCAAATGTTAATACAGTGGTAATATTTATTTCCCTACAGTATTTATGTCCTACTCTTTCTCTGACGACGCAAAAGGATATATAAAGAATTGTCATCTAATTATCTCCTTGCTGTAACAATCCTGTACAATAGATTAGGCTGAGAGTGAGTGACCTAAAATCACCCAGTGAACTCTACAATTGAATGGGTATTTGTACTGAGGTCTTAAGCAATATATATACTGGCTCTTAGACTTAGGAACCATATGTACCACAAATGCTTTCAGGAAGATCCAGAACATTTCCTGGCATTTTGTTCCTGACAAACAGTGGATGATAGGGGTGGGAGCACTTAGAGATCCTGTTGTGTGTTTGCCACAGATAGAAGATATATTGAAAGAGTCGAATGAGTTACATCATAAGGCTTGGCCTATTTACTTTCCAATAAGTATTACTTTCAGGTAGGTAAACAAAGTATTGTAGATAAAAAATATATTGCCCTGCACCTGCAGCTTTTACAATGCTACTTTCAGTAATAGGCTGTCAGGTACCTAGCTGCTTAACAGCTCTTAAATGTTGTATTGGTAACCAAATTCATCATTTCCTTCCATTGGTTCTTGGAAGGAATCAGTTTTAGATTTTTGTTCTGTTGGTTTCATAGCTTTAAACTTTGAGGTGAAGGAAGATCACATCCTACTACACATTTTTAGAGTAATTAAAAGTGACATTGGATTGCTTTCAGAATTTAAGAAGAGATGGTCCTTCAAAGTTAAATTTGCATTACGTATTCAGCCAGGATTCAAGGAATTCAGATTTAGTGCATTCGGCAAGACCTTTCCATGACTTCGTTCTCATATCTGAGCTAGGAATTTGGCTTCTAATAAGCCATATTAATTAAGACCAGGGGGTGCATAAACTAGAAAAT